AAAAAAAGGTATACAAATGTTTCACAAATAATTTATTAATATAAGGGTAAATCAGTAATTTGATTTTCTATCCTAACAATTATCACCTCCCACAAACACAACATTCAACTTTGTCCAAACTTATTTTCTTATAGAACTACAAGAAATAAGAAAATTATAAGAAAATTATATTAGTCCTTTCCTTCTGTCAATTCCCTCAAATTCCTTCGCTCTTGACCTAGCCGCTCTTCTTCATCGGTATGCCTCCTCTCCAGCAGCCCTAGCCCTCTAATTTCGGCGATCTTCCGGCTCGATCTAGGCTCGGTGGGGCGGCAGCGGTGGTCCTGTTCCTTCTCCGTCTCCGTAGTGGTCTCTGCTCGTGTATGAGCGCCAAAGCGGGTGAGGAAAGGCAGACTTTGTCGGCGGCCGTGTTCCGGCGGTGGCTGCGGGCAACCTTTCGGTTTGTCTGCGGCGATGGCCTTTCCTTAGTCTTCCCCTATTCTGGTCGTCCCTGGTGTTGAGACGATGCGGTCCTCCGGCGGCGGCGGCGTGGTTGCGCGGTGGCTCCGGTGTATACGTGGGGGAGGCTGTGGTGTGGTCGGCCTGGGTGAGTATTCGAAGATCTGGGAGCTTCCGACTGTGATGACCGGGTTGCTTCCTCGATTTTCGGAGTCGGATTTTCGCTTGGTTTGGTAGGCGATGGGTCTTCCCGGCTGGTGGGGAGGGCTTTAATTTTAGTTAGTTTTCTGTGTGTTTTGTTAGTTTCGTATTTTTTGTGTTTTTGTAGTGTAATGGTTTTTAGGTTTTGTATGTTCTATCTCCCATTGGGGAGTTTGTTTCTCCCGCAGGGGAGTCTTTTTCTCCCGTAGGGGAGTTCCTTCTCCTTTTGTGGAGTTTGTTGGTGTGATTGTTATCGTGTTGGTTTTAGGCAATCCTCTGGATATGTCCTCTCACTAGATTCGGCTTGTGGGCTGTCCTTTCGGCTTTTGAGCCGTGTCTGGATGTACGTTTCTGGTTATCAATGAAATTTCTATCGTTTGGAAAAAAAAAAAAAAAAAAAAAANAAAAAAAAAAAAAAAAAAAAACTTGCTGCTGCATCAATACAGCTCAACTCAAGCCAGTAGTAGCAGCTCATGCCAGTGACCAACCAACAGTTATCGAAAAATCAGACACTCAAAGTATGCGTGTGTCCGGACAAAATACAAGTGAGGGAATAAAAAGGAGCAGAGTAAATCACCTCAATTGCATGCATGCTTGCAAATACTCAAAGTTCTCATCTTTCATATTTCTCCAAAATATCAACTCTGCAACTCTCATGAATCAGTATTTGGACAACACCACATGATTAACCAATCACCAAGTACAACTGTTGTACACAAAGTCGTGAAATGATAACAGGACTGGACACACAAAACATTAAATTGAGTTATAAAACTACACTTAATTCTGTACTGTGATGAAATCAGAGGAGTCGAAAACACAAAATCATCAAGCACAATTATGTGCCAACAAAAATTTATTTATCAATAATCCATCAAAAATCAGAATTTCTGAACTGCATTAGAGTACTCAACTAGAAACAAGAGAGTCCACANATAAAAACTCCTAATTCTAATCTTTCCCATGAGCATCGTCAAGTCCCCGAGACCCGACGACCATTTCAGTCATATACCGAGTCATATACGCACCGCCACTCGCCGCAACGCCTTTAACAGTAGCCCTCTGCATAGCGTGCGAACTCATTATCGCAAACGCAAACGCTCTCCCGCCTTTCCGGTACATCCCTTCATTAACGAGCCTCTTCTCCATCTCCTCCATCTCTTGCTCAAGCCACTTGCACATCCCATCCCCCGCAACTCCCGCCACCGACTCCATAACAACCCTTCTCCTCTCGGCCACCACTCCTCTCGCCCCCTCCATCTCTCCTCTCTCCGCCATCCTCCGAGCCTCCTTAATCCCCTTGGCCACACAAATCCTATTCCTCCCCCTATCGACCTCCGCACTCACCCCCATATCCTCAACCTCCACGTATTTGGGACGCTTTATCCGAACCGGCCCAAATCCAACCTCCACGGATTCTCCCTAGGCCGCTTTATACGAGCACTTGACGCTCAATATATCCGTCTTCTTCCGCTCGTTCGGTACCGACACCACCACGAGAAACTCCTTCTCCTCCTCCGCGTAGAGGTCGCCTATGTGGACCCTCCCCTCGTGGGACCCTTCCGTGTTGAAGATCCCGCTCGCGTACCCTCCGGACGAGACCGATTTCACCTCTACACCATTAGACGCTGGACCCACCCTCAGTGTGACCTCCCGAGCCACCACGCTCAGGAGGCCGCCGAGGTAGACTGCGAACGCGTCTCGCAGTACTGCCGTCGTCGTCTCGACGAACGAGAATGTCCCGCCGGGAGATTTTTCGGCCGCGGCGTGCAGAATGACCGGGTCGTGGTCGGGACCAAAGCCGAACGAGTGGATCGGGTGAGTCGACTCGGGGAGAAGACTCGAGTCGAGCTGTCGTGAGCTGAGTCTGCACGTATCGTATCCGTCGGAGAGAAGTATGACTGCAGAGACGGGATTTTTGTAACGTCTTTCTTCGAGAACGCGGTTACCGGTCGTGAGCCCCACGAGGATGTCGGTGGCAACGGCGGCGGCGGCGGCGGAGAATGAGAACGAGTCCACGGCGAGCTTGGCGGCCGAGCGGCCTTCCTCGGTCATTCTGCGCAAGGGAAGAGCCCGTTGGGCCTCGTGGGAGAAGGAGATAATGGAGAGGCGATCGTGTGGGCCCAAATTGTCGATTGTGAAATGTAGGGCCTGCTTCGCGAGGGCTACCTTCGGGCCTTTCATGCTGGCGCTGACGTCGATGATGGCGACGAGGTCGATGGGGGTGCGAAGGGAAGGGTTTTTAGGTAGAGATGGAGCCTTTATGCGGACGTGGATGGCGAATTCGGAGAGAGATTCGGAGCGAGCTACGGCAGGGCGTTCAGGGACAGCTGTAATCATTACTTTCGACAAGGGCGGGGGATTGGGAACAGGTGGCAAGGGGTCGTCGTCGGAGAAAGAAAAGGTAGTGTGTGGAGTTTGAGAGGGTAAGAAAGGAAGATTGTTTTTCCAGGTGGTTTGGCAAACAGGGCAACAGGGCTTGGTGATGCAGGTAAAGTGGAAAATGTGCATGCACTCGGCCATGAACACGGCTTTACCCGACAAGCTTTCCGAGCACACCCCACAGGTCATCTGTTAACACCATAAAAAGTCAAATCTTATGAATTTAAATTATCAAAATTGAAAAACACAATCTAAGTCCATGGTTGATGCAATTAATGTGCGTAACAACAAAAAAGGTAGAGCAGTTGCAATTCAATCTAATATCACAGTTGAAACCAAAAAAAAAAAAATTGAATAACTTATGTATATTTGGGGGTGGAGAAGAGGGTAGGGACTCATTCATTGGGATCAGCTGAGATATCAAAACATACAAATCAATTAGACAAGTTTTTTCATCCATAACCAAATACAAAATCTCCCACTTTGGAAAATATCCGGTCAGGATTGATAATCTTTTTGTTATCATTAGAAGAACTAATATGCCTTGAAACTAGGGATATAAGCAGTCATAAGAGCCACATAACCTTGAGATAGTTGTCCCATAAAATTTATTATCTTGCCTGCTTTCAATCTCAAACATCATGCATAATTGCATACACATAAGTGATTCAGCTCAGTAAGACATAAAGATGTCGTACTCTTTTCAGTAATAAAATTCATCACATAGTAATCCCTACTAAAAGTAGTTCCAAAAAATAAACATAGAAAAAGGAAAATGGCAGCACAAAACATTTACAGATGATTGATTCAAAGCTCAAAATAAGAATAGAATTTGGTATTGACAAAAGTACATAAAAATGAATCACTTTGCACATCTTCAGCCATTGAGATTTATAAGGTACAACAAACAAGGTTTAAATTAAAATACACATAATACACATAGAAGTGATATGTAAATCCAGTTGTAAGAAGGGAAATCCAAGGAAAAAACTTGGATGCTATTCTATTACTCAAGGAAATCTCTTTACTGAAGAACTTGACCATTACAATTCAGTTTAATCATATCACCTCACTGTGGACATTATAGACGACAAGAAAAGGCAGTTGAACAAGAAAATACGCAGGCATAAAAAAATAATAAAAGCAACAAAAATAAACTCACGAAAACAATAGGATTAAAATCATACTGCATAAATTTAAAGAGTCCCACTAATGGATTTCATAGGCAATTAATCCAGCAAACATTAANAAAAAAAAAAAAAAAAAAAAAAAACGTTTTTACAATCATAATGGATACCCAACAATCCTAATACAAGATCAACTCAGATAATAGATAGATTCAGGAGATACGAAAAGAGCAAAACCCTAGGGCTTCCATTCATGAGCTAGTGAATTTCGTCACGGCCTTCGTGCCCTCCGACACGGCATGCTTCTTGTTGATACACAAAACACAAGCACAAACACAAACACAAACACAAACACAAATACACAAACACAAAATACAATATAGGCGCATAGATAAAGGAAATAAAGAAAAAAATGGGTGTAGAGAAATATACGTCAATCTTAGCTTTCTTGGCTTTGTGCGTCATGGCTTACACACCTTTTGTTCGTCGTGAGTTTGGCGGCTTAAGAAAAACGTGAGTTTTGAAGTTAATTAATTCTTGGACGGACGGTGGCACATTTTATAGGGAAAAAATTTTCGCCAAAATTTTTTCGGTTTTCCGCGGTTTCGTTTGTTTCTTTTTCTTTTCTTTTTTCGCACGTAGAGAGGAGAAAATCGTTCGTCGAGTTGGCACCTGAGTCCATAGCATAAGGAATTAGACAGTTCTAATATGGACTGTTTCCTTATCCAAATTGGACTGTTACTTAATAATGGTCATACTAGTGGGAATTATTTATTTATTTCCGTGTTTAGTGTTTCTGTTTTCCTTATTTATTTATAATATTTTAAGTAATTTTTTTTTTTGGTGCAAGGTTAATTTTCCATATTATTAATTCATTCTTCAAGCATGCTACTTTATTTGTATGATGATTTGTTTGTTTGTTTTGCTATAATATTATTTCTTAGTCATTATTAGCGGTTAGAGCTGTAAACGAACCGATTGTTCGCGAATAAAAGTTCGTTCGAGCTCGTTCGTGTTAGACAAAAGCTCGTTCGTTTGTTAATTGAGTCGAGTTCGAACAGAAAATTAAGCTCGTTTAATAGTTGAACGAACACGAGCTCGTTCGTGGACGTTCGATTATGTTCGCGAACATTAAGTTAATATAATTTTATTTTATTTTTTATATCTTTACATAATATTTTTAATAAAAATCTAAAATATAAAAATATTTTATTTTATTATTTTATTTTCGAGTTCGAACGAACAAATTTCGAGTTAATCAAACATGTTTAAAAACTTATGTATTAAATTATTCGAACACGAACGAACTCGAACTTTGACGAACAATTAAACAAACGAACTCGAATACAATTTTGCTCGAAAAATAAACGAACGAACACTGTTCGAACGTAAACAAACACGAGCTCGAATTTACAGCACTATTAGCGCTAAACATTTCACAATTTACAGCATTATTAGCGCTAAAAATATAATGACTTTATTTACACCCTATTATAGTTTTATAGGTTGATGGAATATATATATATGGTGAAAAAGGGGTCAATTAATTTTTATTCTGCAGAAAAATGGTTAATGTTGGGTTTAACTGTTAATGAGCTTTCGTTACAGGGGAATTCTCAGAAAATACATAATCTATAGGTCCTGATTCTACAAACTTTAGACTATCGTAAAAAAGATTCTCTCCTATAGTTGTTGAGGGGTGCAAACTTTGATTTCGAGCTGATGATGGGTGCTGATGGTTTCTCTATTTGTTCGGTTTGGTAATAGCAAATTAAAATTGAATACCGAATCGAATTTTTGGTTGTCAACTTTTACTTAGAGAATCTCCAACGGTATCTTGTCCATTTTGTGATGCATGACATGAAGAAAGGAGATTAAGAAATTATGTCTTCAATGATTAATGTTAAAGAAGGTATAATTTGACATGTGTAAATTTATGATTAGTTGAAGAAAAAAGAGAAAGTGAATAAATAATACAATATATAAGAGCATCTCTAATAGAAAATTCTACATTTTGTGTTGTAGGACATGGAGAAAGGAAATTAAAAAGTTGTGTCTCCAATGGTTAGTGTTAATTGTGGTATTATTTGTGATGTGTAAAATTGTAATTGGTTGGAGAAGAGAAATAAATTGATAAATAATATAATATATGATAGAAGTTGTTTAGAAGGCCTTCTATACATCTTCCATGCCGTATTAGATTTTTTTTGCCATGTGGCAACAAAATAAAATGGAAAGACCATTGGAGATGATCTAATAGAAATTGTCTAGAAATCTATACTTATATTAAAGGGGGTACTATTTACCAAATTATGTAGTCAGAAAAGTCAACAGCATTTATTGCATTACTATTTTCGTATTATACAATCTATACTTATATAAAAGGAGATTCTATTTACTACATTTACTATCCAGAAAAGTCAACTGCATTAAATGCCATTTTTGATATTATAATATTTTATTTATTTAATTAATTTATTTATTTGTTTTATTTTAAAAAGGTAAGTATAATAAAAAGATTTTAATAATAAAAACATCAAATACCAAATAAAAATATACACTTTGACTTATTTGATTATATTTAGTATTTGATTATACCAAATATATTCCTATTTAGTATATACATTGAATACTTACTAAAGTATTTATTTTTTTTATTTGTTAAAGTTATGGATAGATTTGTTTATATTATCAAATCATAAAAAAATATTAAATCAATATTGTAAAAAAAAATCATATAATTTTATAACAATTCTACTACACTATTTAACAATATTTCTTTTTTATTATATAATAAAATAATAATTATATATTATATGGTGAACAACAATAAGTAAAACTGTTACTTTCTCTTATATCAAAGGATAAATTTATATCCTAAAATTAAATTTTTATTAGTATAAATATTTTAGTGAGATAATATATTAATTATTTTACAAGCTAGCCCTAACATGCTCATATTTAATGTTTTAAAAGATGTAGAAAAAAACTTATAATAACTCTATTGTTTTTTAGACTTAAACGTTGATTAAAAGAGGTAAAAATTCCTAATTTTTTAGACTTAAATATTGATTAACACCATAGATTGAGAGTTTATATTTAGTAAAATTCCTAATTGTAATAAAAAGATTAATTTTTGCTATATTTTAGAATATCTTTAAATTCATTATAAAAAGAAAAAAAGAAAAATAAAACTACAATGAAAAAAGCAAGTCAGATATATATATGTACTCCTCAAATCACATTCACAATTTGGCTACAAGGAAAGGAAATTCATTGATTAAAATATTATTTTATCAGTAGTCTTAATGTACAAGAGATCCACTTGAATATAATTAAACTTTTATTGAACATTGTACAATTTTTCTGCGTATTATAAACTTTTATTAAATATTGCATCTTATAATATAATATTCTCCAAATAAATATATCCCGTGCTTCGCACGAGTCACGTGCTATATATATTCCGTACATTTTTCTTTATTCATGTATATAATTATAAGTCTGGATAAATAGCCTTAAAATTGTGCACCCCGTGCATCGCACGGGCTCTGTACTAGTACTTCTATATCTAGAAAGACTTCTAGAATTTCTTTACGCCACATCGATTTTTTTTGTGTCATGTGGCAACAAAATGGGACGATCCAAAGACCATTGGAGATGCTCTTAGTTTGGTTTAGGTTTCGATAATTTGGTCATGCTGAAACTTTCGGTTTGGTATTACCTTAGTCCTTTAACAAACCAAAACCACATTGTAACACAATTTTAATCAATAAATTTAAATTTACCAATAAAAATTAATAATATGTGATTCAATTTATATGTGATGTCTGAGTAAATATGAAACTATATCCTTTGTGTAGATATATGAAATTCCGTCTGAAATATTGTCGTTGAAGTTCGAAAAACAAAAAATAATAAAGAAGAAAACTAGTTCAATTGTCAACTACGTGGGGGAAAATGACCATCTCCTAATCTCACCAAAATTACAGCAAACTCAAAAACAAACATGGAGAACTGGAATCCCAAAAGCAAGTCAATCAACAAAATGATAGATTATTGCATTCATTTTTTCGTTTAATACAAGCACTATAGTACACAACCCAACCAACACTTTTGTGATTAATTACCATTATTGTTTTTCAATTAATCCTCGTCCGGATAAGTTTCGATAAACTGTCTAATGATGAGACGTTCATTTGTTGAAAGTTGAGGGTCATCACCGGCTAACCGACTCCTAATTGCAGCACTAATGCTGCTCGGGTCTTTGTCAAAAACCTGCACATGAGTTGGCAAAGAGAGATAATGTGATTTGCAATATTTGGCATTGCAATATGGATGAAAAATCAGTAAGCAATAACATTTAACTTCTTAATTTGCTTTACTGGACAACTCTATACAAAATACCTCAACATAGTTGTTGACATGTCCATCTTTGTTCCGACTAGTTAGAAGCTCATATTCGTTGCAAGTCCATTTGCCATCCACAATGTACTTATATTCATAACGCCCTTCCTGTCCATGTGACAAAGCAAATAAAAAATAAAAGAAAAAAGAAAAAGGGAAAAAAGAAAACAAAAATAAAACCACAAGATGTAATAAATAAATAAATACACTTACAGGCAGTTCTCTGTGAAGAACCCATAAACCATGTTCTTCGTCATAGACCAAAGGTATTCTCTGTTAAGAACTCACAGGATGCATTAGTTAGAATAGGTCTCAAAAAATCAGCCAAAACCACCTCTCGAAAATTAAACAAAGTAATTTCTATGTATCCATAAGTCAATATCAAACTGCAACATCAGATTTATTAATCCAAGTGATGTGCCAGACTTCTGTAAGGAAAGAATATACGACTTTCAGATCTACGTAAATGTAACTACATAAAAACGCTTCTCGTAAGGCATAGCAAGACCTTTTTTTCCTTATTTTTTTTCCTTTGATTTCCTTTTGACAGCTAAATTCATCTAATATAAATGAGTAATGCTATAAAACCCACTTGAGTTACAACTTGGGTTACAACTCAAGTGTAAATGCATTGTTTTTTAATTTCTTGATAAATGCATTGTTTTTTAATTTCTTGATAATGCATTTACATTTGGGTTGTAACCCAAGTTGTCATCGAAGTTGGTTAAATATCATTACTCAATATAAATTGTAGAACACAAACTATCCGTTTAAAATTACCTGTCCCCATCCAATGTCGAGTCCCGAGATTTCCACAGTTGAACAATCTTCACCACCGTACCATTTTAATTTCACAGGCAGTCTTTTAAGACCTGTAAGCTATAAACCGAAGACAACTTTATTAACAACAATTTATTTATTTTTTTCAAGAAAAAAAAAACAAGGAAAATTGAGACTCACAATATCTGCAGTTGCACTTTTGATAGCGTCCAATTTTGGAAAGCATGACCTCTTACTCTGCAAACAGAAAGGAAAGAGACTTGTCTCAATTGTATCATTCGAGTCATGGATAGCTCTACTGATACTTCAATTATTCTGTTAGAAAAACGAAGAGCTTAAAATTATAAGAATCTAAATGACCAGCTCAATGAAAAAGTAGTAACAGAATTTCACCAAGTAAAGCTGTAAATTTTCAAAAAAACTTTGATGCAAAGAACAATAAATAAATAAATCTCTTCGCTTGCAACAGAAGTGTAGAGACAATGTCAATAAAAAATAGTCTTAGAAATAATTCTTAAAAATTGAGAATTACCATGAGTAATGTGTGAGCTTCATTGAGTGTATAACCTTGGACCCAGAACATGTAGGCCACCTACAGTTTGAACAAGAAGTTTCATTACATTCTTGCCATGAAATTATATTGAAAAGCAAATTTATCGTAATTGTTATTCAATCTACAACAAAAGGAACAATGTAGCACTGAAAACGACAAATGGTGCACTCAATTACCCTTCTGAAACCAGGCAACAATATGACTCTTGCCAATAAAGCTATTCTATTTCAACCGAAAGAGTTTGTTTCAAGAACTTGAATAAGATTTTAATATTTCAACTATGAACGTGATAAGAGTCACTTACTATACTGAAGACACCAATATATCCATTCATGGAGTAATTAATGTCATTCGTCCTTGTTATTCAATAAAGTTTATCATCATTGTGATTCATTTAATTTTAAAAATTACTATATGGATCATTTTATACGTATGATTGTTGTCAAAACCCAGTTAAAAGTATTAGCTGACAAGATTTCATAATAATTTTTTGCATCATAATGAAAAAAATAAATGAGATTTACTTAATTGATAGGGAGAGAAGGCCAAGCTAAAANCGTAATATTATGCATACGGCAGTAGCAGGTGCTCGTCCAAGACCAGCGGTGCAATGTATATACGTCACGCCTCCATTCCTATTAATAGCTTTCTGCAGTTTACTTACCACTTTGGGCAGCCGCATTCTAAGGTCAAATGCATCAAAATCCCTGTTTTGCAAAAAACATATCAAGAAGTAAACACAAGAAGAAAAATTGGACCTTTTGTGAACAAATTGTTTTGCATGGCAGAAGAAGAAAAGCTATAAATGGAACACCTATAAATAAGTCTATATATTCAATTAGATTTTGTTAGTAAACACATGCAGATCCACTTCCAAGAGAAACTAACGAACTATGTGGACAGTTAAAAGCATAATAAAATAAATATACAAAATGAAAATTGAGGACGAAATTTAGGAAATGCAGCATGGGCCTGAGGCCCTGAATGCAAGACGTGTATGAAATCAGGATTTAGAAATATTCATTATTTTTCCATAGCTCGCATGCACTTTGGTGAATCAATCATCTCAAAGCAACAAAGACCGATTTAATGCACCCCAAGCCAATCATTTTCTTCAGTGATTTTTAAGTTGGGGGAAACTCCACCAAATTCTATACTAAAAAATACCATTTTAAAGAAGAGAAATAGTGGAAAAAAAAAACTATTCGCATTAGTCTGGTCACGTCACTAACCTAATTTCGGCACGTAGATGCTGAATGTCACCACAACTGTTGGCATATTCACGAATGGCAGCAATATCGACCCCAAAGTACCTGAACAGCTTTTACTTAAGGAATAAAAATTAAGTAAGACCATGTTCTGCCAGAAAGCCTATCAGGAACTAGCAGAATAGCCCTGTAATTTTTGTTTATATCTTTTCAGAAGAAAAAGATAAGTCAAGAAGATTTTACAAAAATCAAGTTATTCAAAACCAAATTTGGATACTCAAGGTCCGAGTCTTGTTGTAAGCAGAATATAGTTTTCACTCCAATACTTCGAAGCTTGTCAACATCCTCCGGAGTCTGTCACAAGTCCAAGTAAAATGAAATTCAGAAGAAATCGAGAACTTACAGTATTCCCTAAATTAGGTCAAGGAACGCTCGTTACCTGTAAGCATGACCCCACGATCAAGTCAGGGCGAATGAAGTTGTAGTTCATTCCAAGTTCATGCCTATACGTCAAAACTGCATTCAGGTGAGACAAAAGTTCCAAATTGTGAATTTATAAACANCTAGCAGAACCGCTGGGTAAATAGGCTAGATCTACTGAACACCTCATGATCCAAGAGAACATTTGAAAAGAAACAAAAAAAAAAAACGCCACTAAATTTGAAACGTTTAACCAGCAAATAGTTGTTTCCCAACTTTTTATCCAGTAAAAAGATGGTCCAAAATATTCTAAGTAAAAAAAGTATGTGTTAGTAAATCCACATACCAGCTCCCATAGCTGCAGTCATGTCATGACTGTATGTTTCAGATTTCTCATCCATTTTCAGATTCTCGTTTTCTGTGCTGGCTGCAGAACCAGACACTGCCTGAAAATCATATCACAACACTAATCAGGCGCAAATATTTCACGGATGACAGTGAGCTCAACATAAAAACAAAGACTGTCTGTATTCAACAAAAAACTACCAACAGATATGTTCCATTCAGCTATCTTCTAAGCCAAAGAAAGTGTAACAATTCTACCGACTAACGATGCAATAAGAGATTTACAAAAATCTCGATCAAAACGGTTAATCAATGGACTAACGAACTTAAGAGTTAAGAAGACAATTTGCATCTTCTCAAGAATTCAGNNNNCACCCTCATCAAAAGGGAAAAAAGAGACAAGATCGATGAATAGAAGAGAGTAAGTTAACAATTTCTATAAAGAAGTCAATCCAACTAAGGCAAAATTTGCTAAAAAGAAAAGTAAATGCCTTTCTACAGAATACCACAGATCTTGCACCTTAGCAAAGACGCCACATGATCTGGATAAAGCAACGCCTTTTACAATCCCCTGCCCAACATCAACAAAAAGGGAAAATTAAAAAAAATAAAAACAATTCCACATAGCAGTAACAGTACAAGAACAACAAAATGAAACAGTACATATATATAACCCACTTTCTTCCATATTTCTTACCAATGAAGCTATAGGGCGCCCACGCTTCCCAAAATTACTTCTCACGCTTTGCAGTGGCAAAGCAGATGATCTGATAAACACATCATAATTTACATACAAATTAGAGAAAGAAGAGACGGGATCATGATACATAACCATTTAAGGATTTGGAGATATTCAATTATTACAGAAATGAAGAAGAAGAAAAAGAAAATGCAAGAAACCTGGGAAGAGTCTGAAGGCAATCCATTGATTGATTGATATGTGTGCGAGCTTGAGTTCAGTTTGTGATGGTCTGATATTTGTTAAAGATACTTTGCATTGGACCAAAATGATATCAGCTGAGGTGATTCATGCTTAATCTACTACCCCACTGGTACAAATCCTGTACTTGTATAACTACAGTAGAACACACCGTAGATGGTGCTAGTAAAAATAAATATATTATATAAATGTTAATTCTACAAAATAAAAACGAGAATAACAATATAAAAGTTATTAATTTTTAAAATATATTTATCATTTAAGTTGGTCAAGTGTTTTGTAATTTTAAAAGTCTAAGGTATGAATAGAAATCCATATCTACATGACTATTTCGAAGCACCAAGTATTAAGTATTGACACGCCATGTATTGACACGTACAATTGTGAATCATCAGAAGACGACAGATTTATAAAGTAGGGACAGACGCAGGAGGACAATGGTCAAATTAATATTTAATTAATTAAAATAAAAAAAAAAATTAAATTTTGACCAGACACCTTGTTTCTCATTTAATAGCTAAGGTTGAGTCTCAGGTTATCATTTTAAGAATAGGGAGACATTTGAGTCAATTCGTATATAGTATATACATTTATGTATAATATTTGTTTTTTCATGTATTTTGGGAGGGAAAATGAAATAAACAAGAAGTTGAGTATAGCATAAGCATAAATTCCACAACTTAAAAAATAACATACTATTGAAGGTTAAATAATTCTAAACATTTCCTTTTTAATTTGTTATATTGGAATAACTTTACATAATAATTAATAACATGTATTTTTTATGTCAATATAATAATATATTTATACATATAACATATATATAGTATATTGCTAAAAAATTCTACAGGACCTGTGCCCTACAGGCCTGTGTAGATCCGTCTCAGTTATAAAGTACCAAAAGTTAACATATATAATCGCGAAACTATGAATGAACTATTTCGAAGCACCATATATTGACACGTAGAATTGCGAATCAGTAGAAAACGATAGAGTTATCAAGTAACAAAAGTTAACACATATGATTTCGAAAACAATGCACGAAGCCAGGAACTAGCGTTCGAATTCAAAAGTACTAGTTGCTCAAACTAGTATTTTGTGATTAAAAGTGATATTTAATTAAAATTATGTAAGTAAATGAATAATGAATTAAAAATTATGTGATGTAAAAAGATGATTAATTAATATTATTTAATTATATTAATCATATTGAAAATAGTAGAATTTAATTAAAATTACGTTAAATATTGAGTTGGAATTGAATTTTTTTTTGTATATTTATATCCACTCACGCCACCACTGTATACTTTATTTTGTTATTTTGGCATCTGCCTCACCTTTTGTAATAGTGACGAGTAACAGAACAAGAAACAAAAATATTGGAACACCACAACATTAACGACCAAAAAATAATTACTCAGTAGTAATAAATTTATCTATCAGCCAAAAAAGAGAAAAAAAAAAAATACGTATTTCTGCTTTTCTTTTTCCCCAACAATATTGGCCGAAAAAAGATTCGAGTTCCACTTATGCGATTCTACGAAAGATGCTCAACAGACAACAATATCAGGAAAATTAGAGATCCAAAGGCTCCCACATATTATTTTGTTCAGATTGTGGTTCTCCCAAGAAAGTTCCAATGTTGGATCTTGTTTCTTGATCCTTCGGAAAGTTCCAGAAAGAATCAGAATTCTCGAAGAAGATGTAGAACGCAACGAGCGATGCCAAAAATAGCCCAAAGAGAAGTAAATAGATCTGCCATTCTGCAAATATACAAAGGAAAGCAAGAAAACTGATATTAGTCAAAATTCGACCAAGAGATAAAAAAGGTTGAGCCGTTGAGGCAATGCAGATGAATAACGAGAGACCTTTCCAATCAACCGGGACACTCAATTTTGTCACCATTACACCCCATTCTTTAGAAGTAGTAAGTATTACCCTGCAAAGTTAAAACAAGTAGACTTCTTATAAACTGGAGCAGCCAATGAAGTTCTTGCACAAACAGTGTCTTTTTTCCTTTAATTGATTGAGAAATGTTTCATTGTAATAGGAAATAGAAATTTCTATTGTTTTTTAATAAAATCAGTTAGCATTTCATTATTTTTTCAAGAAAAAAAAAAAATAAAGAAAAAAACACTTCAAGCATTACCTTTCACTTGGGGAAAACTCCAATGACGCAATATCAGAACCCAGGTGTAGTCTCTTACTCAAGTGGCGAACTTCCATCTTTTTCACTTCCACAACACATATATCTCCATCCTTGCTTCCCCTATGTTTAAAAAAGAGAGATGATTTTCGTAAGTACAAGGAATAAGGGAAAATGCTCTACATAACATGCCATCTAGTAACAATCACATAAGGCTATGTTTGCTTGAGCTGACGGGATTAGACTAACTTTATCTCATTTCATAAGATTGCACTGTTATGATTTTTTCCATCTCTTGTTTGTTAGCTTGATAGGGTTTTGTTTGAATAAATACTGAAATTAGTGAAATGTCCAAAATGTACAAATAATATTTTCTTCTCTTTATTTTTTTTTTCTCCATTCTTTCCTCTATCCTGCCTCACCATTTCCTTTTAATTTTCGTCTGCACCTCAACAACTTATTTCCATTTTTTGATCTTTTCATTTATTTCTCTTCAGGTTGATAGTTTTATTTTTTTTATCTCCCATTTTTTCCTTTATCCTTTTTTTCTTTATTTCTTCATCAATATTTCTTTCTTTCCCTCCTCTTTTATCATATTTTTGTAGTTGCCCGATGTTTCTTCTTCAATGTTTCTAGTCCAATCACAAAGCTCACACCGAGAATTGTCAATTGAAGTGTAAGTTGCCCGATGGAGGCGGATTTTCGCCGTTGAAGATCCGAACAAGCGGTGGGGAAATTGGAAATCAACTCAAAATTGAAGCTAGAGTTACATAATTGAAAGATGAAATGAAGATGAAAAAGTCCAGAAAAGACGAAAGAAGAAAAAATTGAGAACTATGGCAGGAAAGAAAAAAAATGGCGAAAAAGAGTCCAGAAAAGATGAAAGAAGATGAAGAAAAGAGTGGGGTGCGGGGGCAAATTGGTCATTTCTTTATTCTGTAAAGGTGGGATAAAAAATATCTCACATCTTCCTCGAGATCGAATTATCATACATACGCAAGATTAATTTATTTAGTAGCGGGCCAAAATTTTTTTTGCGGGCCTGGGTCTGTCTCACCAAACGTCGGATAAGGCCGGGATTGAGGGTGTTATCCTATCTAATCTACCCTATCAAACACGCCCTAAGAATTTTCTTGACATTCAGTAAATAAGGAACAGGGAAAGGTAAAAAAACAAAAAAAAAATGAAGGGTTTGGTTCCGAAATAAGACAAAGGACACAAAAAAGATTAGAAAGTAACAACAAGCACTTACAGAGCAAGATATTTTCCATCCGAACTAACAGACATTATTGAAGCTGGCTTATTAAGCAGCCTCTTGTGCCCAATTTTTTTCCATTCACTTATATCCCAAACAACATTCAGTGGTTTATTTCCTGTATTTAGACAGTCGGTCATGATCAACCATCCATCTTTCAGTTAAATAATATTATACGGGAGACTGACCTCTTTGAACAGTGCAAAATAAAAATGGTCTCGTGCCATCTTTAGAAAACCGGCAAAGTTCAATCTTCTCATCCTGCGACACGGAAAGGAAAAATTCAACATCAAACCCTAAAAACTTTGCATACTTAAGAAGAACTTACAGGGTTCCGTGCCAATGTAGTAATTGGACCCCCATCACTTGTATTCCATACTCTAGCTGACCCATCAACAGATGTAGAAGCTAGATATTCTGAATCTAAGCTGCAAGAAAAAAATTCAAGACCAAAATAGTCTAATTACATGTCTAAATTACTTAACCGGATGAAGATTGCAGTCTGAAGCAGATTGATTGTAATAATTTGTAGGGTATAAATTACAGATATATACAACACTAGGAAAAAGCCAATGGAGGGGAAAAAAAATGGATTAAAAAGATTATCATATAGGTATTTCACCACAGGGGGGAGCACAAGCACCAATTATTGGAGAAGAGGCAGCAGAAAGGTTCAATTTCTTTTACTGAGAAATAGACACCAAATACTTAATGCTACTCATGGTAAATGCATATGCATGCCTCGGCATACATGTGTGTGTGTGTTGTGTGTGTGTGAGAGAGAGGGAGAGAGAGAGAGAGTTACACAAAGCTCATTTTACCTAAAATCCATGTCCAGAAATGACTTGTGAGCTCTCGGTTCTTCCAAAATTATGCGCATGCTTGGCCACTCAAATATTCTAAGACATCCATCCTTCATATTTAAAGAAAACAATAGATAAATATAATGGTGACAGCACGTGCAGATACTAGAAAACAATGGCAACATGACAAATAAGCTTACAACTCCACCAGTAGCAAATCTAGTTCCATCAACACTAAAAGCCAAGCATTTTTGCAGGCCAATTCCCTGCAGCAGAAGCTGCTCCTTTGCTGTTAGATTTATCTTGCCCTCCCTACTATCCAATTCGAACAATCTGTAAGGAATATTAAAGTAGATCAATCATTGCCACAATACTACCAAAACATCAACTAGTTGGGATAAAACCAAAAACTTTGCCCTTTTTTACCTCCACTCTACCAAATTTTTCCACACAAGGAGGTACAAAACTATACTAGACACTAGTTACTTGTAATGAAGTGCCAGTAATGTGATGCATAATCTTTTAAAAATAAATATTATGGCCTTGCTTGGGTAAAGAGCTTTTTGAAACTAAATTAGAGGTTTGATAAAGAATTAGAGGTTTTGCTTGTTTAAACATCTAATTTGAGTATCTGGTAAACAAATGATTCAATTAGTTTATTAGTTCCAAAATCCTGACTTTGAAAAAGTTGGGTATACCAACTTTTGAGAATGGGTGATTGTGAGAAAGAGGATTGAATATTAGACTATTCATAAATATAGAAAAAAAAAAATCAATATGTTAAAGTTGAAAAATATTTTTTATTCATCTTCCCTTTTTTATTTCCGTCTAATTGTTGGTCTGTTGCACCTTAATTGAATTTATTAGTCCTTTGTTTTTTAATTTAATGCACACTAATGGCAGACCTTGTGGGTGTTTCAGACTTTCTAAATTTTATATGTTTATTGGTTTATTCTTTTTTCTTTTATATTTTCTTATTCTCCTAAAAGTATAATATGTCTATTAGTAATTCATACATAAATTTCTAAAATTATTTTATAGAGTAGCTCATAGATGCAAATAATTACTAAATAATTTTATAACAAGACCTATTTTATGCTCCATCCATTTAGAATAATAACATTTTTTTTTTTTTTTAGCTTGGTCTATGTAGAAATTGTATATGTTATTATACATTTTCTCAAACGTAACAACATTTATTAATATTGTGGGCAAAGGTAGAATATAGTTTGACAAATTACAACAATATTCTTATTAATCATTTACTACATTTGAGTAGCTATTTGGCTATCAGCTGTTTACCACACAACATATAAACCGCTACTATAGTAGGCTTGTCAAACCAGCTAACAATCAGCTATCCACTAATTATCAAACAAGGCCTGTATGTGATGAACAAGCGAAGCCCTTATATGAACTCAGAAACTGAATACTAAGGATATAGCAATAGCACTAGGTCAGTAGTATTTCTGCATGAATTAATCACCCAAACCTCCTTAACCAAAGGGGCCAAGTAGACAAAATATGCAACAAGGTACCAACTAGATAAAGTCACGACAGTGAATCACGTATCTAGAGAAACTTACAGAAATCACATTAGAACAGAATCGTGTTCTTTCTAAACACGAAAGAGAATCCTATAAAAATCGAGTATATGAGTAGAAACTAGCAAGTCAGAACTTCTGAAGAAAATAAACAAGTTTTCCCACGTGACACATGATAAATTAGTTGAAATCCAAATAGCCAGGCACATGCTCCATAATCTAAATCTAGAACCAACAGTTAAAGATGGAATTAGAAAGTGAACAAAAGAAATAAGAACTATAATAAAGAAATAAGGCAGATTCAGACTTGCAATCACCAGTGCTGGTGGAACAAACCAATTCATCTCCACTGGGATGTACCGCAATAATTACCGGACTGATCCCTTCTTCGAATTCATACTTGGCCTGCAACAAATAGAAGCAATTCACAAACGGGTAGAGCATACAAGCACTAGAAGCCCTACATTAACTCCATGAATAGAACACGGAGTTTAAATTGTCAGCCAATATTTATTCACAAAAAGTTTCAAACACAAAACCGGAAAAAAAAATAAAAAATAAAAAAACTATTCATTAGGAATCAAATGGTTGCTGCAACAGAGAGATAATTTGGATAAAAGTAAACCCTAACCTTGGGAGAAGCCGAGAGCGACACGGTGTTGGGATCGAAGGAGAAAATCTCGAGGGAAGAGGGCCCGGATTTTCCGACCACCGCTAAATGCTTATTGTCGGGGCGCCGAATCCACGTCCCACAGGTAACCGGAGCATCGCCGCCGTCCATCGCTTCGGCTGCCGAATAAAAAGCACTCACAACGACGGTATGTTTGAGAGATTGATGAATGTTTGTTCCTCTACACAAATACAAATTCAAGTTAGACATTGCAAACCGTGTCCGCTGGAATTTTTTATCTGCATTTGACTTTGACCAATTCATTACTATTCCGGAAAAAATTTATTAACCTCCCAAAGTATGTTGATGTTGTTTTCTTGACTTTGCCATATAAACTTTTTTTTTGATAATTTGCCTCCTAATGTAATCGAAACTAACAGTTTGCCTCCTCGATTAAAAACCCTAATATGACACAAAAGAGTTTTTAACTCAATTAATGATGAATTTTATACTAATCTTTAAAATTAATTTCGAGCTTTCAAAGCCCATGGCGAGACGAACAAAATGAGGTATAATATGTCGAATTCTGAAAATTGATACCTCTATAATCGATCCATGAAGATAGTAGGAGCACGTGTATATAGAAAAAATTTCAATTCAAGTTTTCTGACAATCAAAATATCCGATTTTCGATTGGGAGGTGTCATTTGAAAGCTACTAGGACCAATTTTCTAACACGTAAATTTTATGAAAATCCAACGGTTGGATTTTGATCAGTATTTAGAAAACTATTGATCAATAGTTAGCTTTTTTTTAGGCGACTAACCAAAATCCGACCGTTGGATTTTCATAAGATTTACTTCGATAGAAAACTCGTCCTTCAAGCTTTCAAATGACACCTCTCAATCGGAAATCGGATATCTTGATTATCAGAAAACTTGAATTGAATTTTTTTTCTATACACATGTGCTCCTGCTATCTTCGTGGATCGATTTTAGAAGTATCAATTTTCAGAAATCGACAAATCATACCTCATTTTGTTCGTCTCGCCATGAGCTTTTAAAGCCCTAAATCAATTTTAAAGATTAGTTTAAAATTCATCATTAATTGAGCTAAAAACTCTTTTGTGCCATATTAGGATTTTCAATCGAGGAGGCAAATTGTCAGTTTCGATTACATTGAGAGGCAAATTGTCAAAAAAAAAAGTTTATATGGCAAAGTCAAAAAAACGACATACTTTGGGAGGTTAAATTTTTTTTTCCTTACTATTCACCGTCCCTATTATTACTATTCACCGCCCCTATTACTATTTACCGCTTTGGACAATTTTTTTTCAAAAAGTAAAAAAAAAATTATTGTTGTCCGGACGCCGAAACCGGACGGCCCAAATGGCGTCCGGCCCCGACGGCCGGTCGTGACCGGTCCGACCGGCCGGACACCATGTTTTTTTTTTAATAATATTATTATAAATTATTATGTTATATATTCAAAATAATTTGTTATAAATTGAACGTTAGAATTAAAAAAAAAAAAACTCATTTAGAAACGTTACATTTTACATTAATAAAGTACAATGACAATTTTAAACTAATTTATTATATAATATCACTATTAATTGATTATAACAATAATAAAAATAATCCAAATACTTTTGTAACTAATTAATTGTATAATCACTCTAAATTACAAAATTATATTGTAGTTGAAGAGCATCGCCTGTCTGTCTCTCTCCCGACGAACGGACGCATCTATCCTCCGAGCCTGATCGATCATCGTCTGTCTGTCCCTCTCCCGACGAACGGACGTATCTACACCCCGACTTCTAGTGTGTCGAGGGCCAGAACCTTCATAATATTCATTAACCTTGTCGTCTTCATCTCTGGCAGATTGTCTAGGTCTACTAACACTCTGAATCAAAAATATAAAATAATATTTAGTAAATATTTTTTTTCTAACAAATTACATATATATTTTTTAATATATTCTTTAACTAACACCCAGATTCTATCTCTAGCACCTTTTCAAAACCCCTGCACCGTTATAAGACGACCTTTACTAAAACCCCTGCACCGTTATAAGACGACCCAAGTAAAGGTGCAAGAGATAGAATCTGGGGCCATGTTCGACCTTGAAGAGATCGGCTTGAGTGTCATTTGGAGCTCAGACTCGATGATGTCGGCAACAGCGAGGTGAGGCCCCGACGAGGCCGAGCTGCAATTAGTACGTCCGACAATGGTGAGGTCGGCCGGGCTTCGATTCGGATGGCTGGCAATGACGAGATTGGCCCGGACTGTTATTTGAAAGCTCGGGCTATGATTTTGATGTCCAACGGTAGTCAGGTCGGTTTATGCGCTGCGGGTTTGATGCTCGACAACAACGTCAGTTGTCCTGTACGCTAGGATTCTCGGCGAGATTGACGGGGTGCTCCATAGTTAATTGCAAGTTGAAAAACTCTCACCGCTACTGGATCATGTAACGGCGGTGGCGTTCCCGGTGCCCATATGTGATAACCCAAGCCGGCCATTACAAGATCAGGCAGTTCATTGATTTTTTCCTCAAAAACGGTGGAATTATCCCATGAGAAGAAGAAAAACGAGTCAAAACAACTTTATATTTTAGCCCACATCACGGTTAACCAAATCAAGCAGTTTGGAGCTCTAAAAATTTTTTAGCCTCTCTGAAATCAGGGGCGTAGCCTTATTGATGCCAGTGTGGGCCTAGGCCCACCCTGAATTATAAAAAAAAAAACTACATTTTATATATCTTATTCAAAACAAGTTTTATAGTCTATTAATATAAATTAAAAAGAAAAAAAAATAAGAAACAATACTTGTAAGAGCACAAAGAAGAAAAAAATAAATAAATAATAGAGAAAAGAAATCACTCTTCTTGTTGATTTTGGTAAAAGTAAATCTAGTCCACTCGCTAGATTCGGCTCAGAAGTTGTCTTATTCAGTTGTCGGGTTGTTCTCTAGTTTGTAATTATGTGTGTTTTTTCTATAAAATTTTTATCGTTTCGAAAACAAATCTAGTCCTTCTTTTTATTAGATTTTGTATAAATATTTAAACTTGTAGTTATTTGAGTGTCGTTTCTTAGAAGACTATGTTCACATATTTAAATTTGTGTGTGATTGATAACTTAAATTTTAGGGCTCTTCAAAGTTAGATAAATTAGATAAAGCATATTATATATCGTAATTTATTTTTATATGGAGAAATATTTTTATAAATAGTCTTGACAAAAAAGTGCATTTGAAAAATATTTCAAAATTAGCTACTTTTAGTCCAAATATACTTGAGGTTAATTATAATATTGTTGTGATGAAAGAAAATGTAAAGACCTTATTGTAGAGTCATACCAAGTTATGAAAACTTATATGAATTACTATGAATGTGGATTATTGTATTTAAACTTTGTTATGATGTATTATATTTATCTTCCAAAAATAAGTAGGCCACCACTCATTTCATGAGCTAGATCCGCCCCTGTCTGAAATCTCCAGCCAAAGCCAAAATCAAAGGCCCCTAAATTTTTCTCTCCTTTCTTTTTTGTTTTTTTGTGATAAGGGAAATAGTGACGTGGCTCAATATTGTCCAAGTGAAGTGGTGTTATCCTTTCTCTCATGACTCATCTACACAATTTTTATCTTTCTCTCTTCGAAATATATATATTTTTTTTTCATCTCTCTCAAAATCGTAAACATATGAACAAATACACATACCAACACAGCAAAACAAAAGCAAACGCTAACCACTAAACTTGTCTGAATTTAATTTCCTTGGGGTCGCTTTGGGAATCCCCAATATTGCAAAAACTCATTTATCTAATTTTTGTTTTAACAGAGGGATGAGATTTGGGATATATACTTACACGGATATACTCTCGTGATAAAATCGGAGAGTGAGAAAAAGCAGTACACAAATATGGATATTCATGCCAAACTTGGAGAAAGCATATTCCGGTGGAGATGTTGTTGTTTTCTGACGGGTTACACCAAACAACCGATGGTGCCCTTTCTCTAGCGCCAAATTGTTGACATCAAAAATTGTATCAACACCAAAATAATTTGTATAAAAAGTAAGAAAATCCAGATCTTGGATGAATATATATTTTTATTCGTTTTTGGGAGATGGAAAAAATGTCTCTCCTTTCTTTGTTATTTTCTCTCTTACCCGAATGAGAGAGCCCCCTCAGTAATTGTGGGTCTCTCTTTTTATATGGCCTCACAAGTGGGCTTTTTACCTAATTTATGAATGACGGCTTCGATTGTAATACAAGTGTAATAAATAAGATGTGACCACGTATGACCTAGTAATTATGAATGACGGCTTCGATTGACGTTTTATCCTGTCGACGATACTGACGTTCGCGAGAGTCGGCCTTCCTACGAGATCTGGGTCTGACAGTTACTTTAAACTCTGCTCGGCTCGGAAGTGGAAGAGCTCGATATCGGTAGCTCGGTGAATTCCGGATTGGTTCTGGAACCTATTACTTTCATATTTATTTATTACATATTTTATCTCTCGTTTATTTTTTCACGTGTCGTATATTTATTAATCGTGGCCAAATTGGGTATCAACAATTATTATAATTTATAATTTTTCATTATAATTAAATTATAATTATTATTATAATTATAATTTATTATAATCTATTATATTTGTAATTATAAATTATTATTATAAAAAAAAAGAAAAAAAAATTGTCCGGCCGGCTCTTGACCGTCCGGCCACCCAAGACGACCAGGTGGGAAGACGTACAGCCGTCGGGGCCGTACGTTTTTTGGGTCGCCAGACCGGCCGACCGGACGGCCCCGCCGCGTCCGGAGGCAACGGCCAGACGCGGCAACAATTTTATATAAAAAAAAAAATTAAAAATAATTTACAACCAAAAAAAAAAAATTATCTTGCCGGAAAAGAATCCTTTCCCATGCCGTAGGATTTTTTCGACATTTTTTCTGAATTTTTTGGAAGCTTGAATGGCTCTTTAAAAGTTCGGGAATTTAGAGAGATGGAGAGTTTAGAGAGATAGAGAGAAAGGGAAAAAGAGTAAAAAGGGGGAGGGCGGTGAGTAATAATAGGGGGGCGGTGAAGTAAATGAGTTTGAGTTATTTGGAAATCGATTTATACAAGTATAGTATAAAGTGTGTGTAATACAATTATGAAGTATCGATCTATCTGCATTTGACTCTGACCCAATTCATTATATATCCCTCTATATATATACAAACATTTGATGTGCAATTGTACCTCGGTTCTCTACAACTTCTCGATTTGTTCCCTGAAGACCAGCAAATATGTCATGAGAGGTTCCCGACATTAAACGTCTGACGATCAAGTCAGTAAGGTGATATGAAAAAAATATTGAAAGCTTAAAATGTATAAAGTGTGATTAACTTTTACCTTTTTCAAATTTTACCTATTTGTAGTAGATTATTGGCTTCTTGAACAAGCCTTCTGCCTGATTGCCTAGACTGCCCAAAAGGGCTACCCGTGTAGGTCTGTCTGTCAATTATTTGGTTATACTCTCGTCCATCTGATCATCTATCTCTTTTATTTATGACAACATGTTTCATTTGTTAACGGCCTGGTCTCAACCTATTATGTTGGTCGATCCATTTCCTACTCGAGCTAATTACTTGTTATCATGCCCAAGCTATCATATATTCGAGTTGTTGGCAAACCATATTTGGCCGAGCACCTTAATATCCGAGCTATAGTCATTCTTAAATTGTATGAGCTCGTTAATGTCTAAGCTATAGTCATTTTTAAATTGTTCGAGCTCCTTAATGCCCGAGCTATAGATATACCTAAGTTGTTCGAGCTTACTTGTGTCCAAGCTAGAGACATGTTCTAGCTATTCGAGCTACCTAAGGACTCATACTCCTAAACAAGCAAGCCTAACTAGACTTCAGTCTACAAACTGAGCTGACTGTGGCAGCTGCTTTATGTGTTATATCCCAATTATCAAACGAGCTATTGTTTTGCGAGTCCAATAAACTTGTTTCAGTTGTTTGATAATAATATTTAAAGTTATATATATTTAAAAATCCCATCCGGCTTGAGCTTGCGATAGCGTGTCTCGTACGACGTGCTTGTCTTTTTGTCAGTCCCCCCTGTCAGACCCATTGTATTTCGCACCTAGAGCTTTCACCTGAGCCCTTAGATCTATTTCGATAGAACGGCTAATTACGTACCTCCTCTACTATAAATACCTTATTCCTCCTCAACTTTTCACTTTCTGCACTCTCGCATCCTTACACTCTGTCAAGCAAAAAATCTCTGTGTTATTTTTAATTTTTACTTTTTACTAAACCCTTGTTGCTTTTTTGTATTTTTGTTTTATTATGTTCTTCGTGTTTCTCATTTATCCCCTTTCGTTTTTTCCACACCAAGTTTGAATAGCTTACATTTAGACCGCTATATCTATCTAGTTTTCGCACTTAAAAAATAACTTGGTTGTGGCCGTCACACCTAATGAACAACACTCAAACTCATAAGAGCTCAACCTTAAGCCGTTGTTGTAAATATTTTTCCGGAGTAGAATCGAAAGATTCGAACACCGGGTCGTGTCTCACGAGGAAGATTAGCCAGAATATTCTATACGTTTATTCAAACAAAAAGAGAAACAAAAATCCTAAACATTCCAATTCAGATGGTTTGATTTGGATTTAATTATCAACTACCAAGAGAAGTTAAATTAAGCAATTGAAATAGCAAGCAACAACGGAGAACAATCAGGATTTAAGAAGCTAGGGAGTCGGGGATATCCGTTTTGGTTCGAAAATGCAATATCAAGCAAGAGATTGCTCGGTTAAGTGATTTGACTAATCGACACGTTCAAGCACTCATTCTCAATAACTTTTCGTAACAAGAGAACAAACTAGAACGGTAAATTAACAATTCATTTAACTTCTAGACAATACAGTTACGAACAAGCCTAGTTCATACGAGCTTATTTCGACCGACCACTCCCCTTTCGGTTCTAAGAGTCGATTAAAGTAGACTAGAAGGTGTTTAATCAACTAGTCCGTTTAGAATAACCAACATCAATCAAGAACATATCGAACTCAATTGCAAACAATTGGGGATTGAAGTGTCACCCTTCAACAATTCTCAATATTCGAACCCGACAATTGAAAAACCCTAGAAAAAGATCAACTCGTACAAATAGAACAATCACGAATATGATAATCGCAAACGAATTCAAAACATCAATCCCCTATCCCTAGCATAAAGGTTTAGCTACTCATAATTGAATAATCAACACAAGCAATCTCAACCCAATAATTCATAACTAACGATTAAGTTGAAAGAAAAGCTTACGATTGATAAATCACAAAGTTGAATTCGATAAACAAGCTTGAAATCCGGAAGCAATAATGAAATCCGATCTTAAATCCTTATTCTACGTCGTGTCGTGGCGCGGGCGCGGCGTGGCAGGCAGAAGGGTTCCGCGGCGTTAGCTTCTCCACGGCGCGGCGGGCACATGGGCATCGTCTGAAGGCCCGTGACGGGTGGCACGAGATTGGCTGCGGCGTGAGGCTGCCATGATGTCGCGGCATGATGGTCCCCAGCGGTGCGGGGCCTGGGCTGTAGCTTGGGCCTGGTTGTGCGACTTCACGTTTCAGAGTCGTTCGGGCTCGCCTGGTATTGGAATTCGATTCTGCTTATTCCTGTGTATTGCCAACGAAACGCTCTATCCAATTGTGTTCACCCGGTCCAATTATCATGAAAATAAATCCTCCCGAACCTTCCATCCTGCACACCAAAGACGAGAAAAACCGGAAAAATACCGAAAAACACAAGGAAAACTAAAATAAAGCGAACCACGAAATAAAATACATAATGACCTAAAAACCAATTAAAACACCTAAAATGGGGAAAAATAAAGACTAAAAGACAACGAAAAACACAACAAAAATGAGACAAACAGCCGTCACACCCAATAAACAACATATGTACTCGTAAGAGCTCGGCCTTAAGCCGTCACACCCAATGAACAACACCCGAACTCGTAAGAGCTCGGTCTTAAACCGTCACACTCAATGAACAACACCCAAAATCGTAAGAGCTCGGCCTTAAGTCATCACACCTAATGAACAACACCCAAACTCGTAAAAGCTCGGCCTTAAGCCGTCACACCCAATGAACAACACCCGAACTCGTAAGAGCTCGACCTTCAGTTGGTTTGTAGTTTATGATAGCAAGGGGTTTTCGGTATTGTTATTACTGTCTTTGGTTATTTTGTTGTTTTAGTCATTGGTGTTCTATGTCACACTTGTGTGGTTTTCTCATTTCATTCGGATTGTATTGGGTGTATCCGATTTTTTATTCGAACATTGTATTGCCATTTGTATTATGAGTATCTCCTATCATTTTGAAAAAAAAAATCCTTACTCTTCTAACTGTAAATTTGAAGGTTTAAATTTGTAATTTCTACACATGATCACTATTAAAGTTGCTCTAATTAACGAGTGAGTAACAAATGACGTTAATTAAAAAAAAAGACTTACTTGCCTATAAAAACCCCAACCTTTTATAGAATTGCAAATGAAACTCAACTTTTTTATCTCTGCAAATAAATACCAAACTTTTATTATGTGTTGCAAACTTGTCTCCAAACTATTTTCCGGCCAAGTTGAGTTGATGTGTCCAATTAAAAATCTTACTTGGAATGGAGGAGTCTTGTGTGGCAGCCTAATTTTTCCACATCATATGCCAAGAGGATTTGAACCCCAAATTCAAATAACCCTAAACTTGAACCCCAAAATCTAAGAACCCTATTTGAATTCCTTCACAACAATTGTGAATTAGTTCAAATTTGGATTTTTGAATTTTAGGGTTCAAATTTAAGATTCTTGATTTTTGGGGTTTTGGAGTTCAAACTAAAGATGATATTTGTGAAGGTTATTGGCATTGTGCCCTAACTGGGAGACTATCCATGGAAAAGCAGAGGATACTTTCTGAGGGTCTCACTATACTCTGCGTATGTCTCGGTATCTAGGGCTGCAAATGAGTTGAGCCGAGTCGAGCATTGGCCTTATCGAGCAGGATTGATTTTTTTTTTTTTTTAGCTTCTTGAGCTCGAGCTCGACTCGATAAAAAATTACAATAGCTCGAGCTCGGCTCGAGCTCGACTCGAAATCATAATGCTCGAGCTCGGCTCAAGTTCGACTCAAAAATTTTTAAGTGGAAAGGTAAAATTACTATTAAGGACCTATGCTAATTTATAAGGGGTATTTTAGTAATTTAACATGTATCTCGAGCCGATCGACAAAGCAAAACATGGGCTCGAGCTCGACTCGAGTTCGTGTGCTCGAGCAGCTCGAGCTCGACTCGAGTTCGGTCAAACTCGAGCTCGATTCTAGCTTTGACTCGAGTGCTCGCGAGTCAGTCGATTCGTTTGCATCCTTATGGGTACCCAATAAAAATGTAGAACTAGTACTAAATGACAAGATTCAACTTGGACAACTCATCCACGTGGCCAGGCTCGAGCCTTGTTCCCCTGTTCGTCTGCTCAATGGCCTAAATCAAATCCCCATGAGACGGGCGTGTGCTGAGAACTCGACGGACTTGATCTCGAGCGACTTTTTGACTACTAAGAAAACAGATGTGAAATCGATATCCAGATGAAAGTTGAAGAAAAGTTGTGGAAAACCTTGACGAGGGTGTAAATTGTGAAGGGATTCAAATTAGTTTTCCGAATTAGTTTGCTATTAGTTTTCAGTTGTGAAGAAGTTCAAATGAGGATTCTTTCATTTTGGGTTCTTGGATTTTGGGGTTAGGGCTCCGATTGGCATATGATGTGGAAAAATTAGACTGCCACACAAGACTTTTTCTTACCACGTAAGATTTTTAATCAGACACGCTCTACTTGGCCGGAAAATAGTTTGGAAGATAAATTTTCAACACATAATAAAAGTTTGGTATTTATTTGCAAAGATAAAAAAATTGAGTTGTATTTATAATTCTATAAAATGTTTAGGATTTTATACGCAATTAGACACAATTCACTCCACACATTACTGCACGTGTGTGTTTCGAGGAGAGGATTACAGTACACAGTACACACACCCCTGCATCGCCCACTCCTCACACAGTCACTCGACATATTTCACACCCAAACCAAATTACTGTGTGATTGTGTGTGTGTGTGAGAGAGAGAGAGAGAGAGATGGTCCTCGGCGTTGCTATGCGGCTGAGCCTCCGTGCTCCACCCTCCGTGCTCCACCCTCCGTGCTTCGTCAGCTTCCGTTCGCCCATTCCCTCCTCCGGTCCTCGTCTCTTTCCGGCGACTCTCCCCCCGCACATTCTGACCAAACCTAGCGGACGCCGCCTCAACATCTCCACCGCCGCCGGATTTGGGGTCGCCGTGTTGAATGACGCCGGCGCTACCACCTTGGCACTCGGTGGCGCTTACGCTTTAGTCTCCACATTCGATAACCTCACCCGCCGAGGAATCATCGCGCAGGTTAGTCACTCTCTCTCTCTCTGTCTGACACGCGCACATTTCTGTGGGGGATTGCTCTGTATGTGTGTTGGTGTGTAAAAATGGATAAAATTCTTCTAAACCCTGTTCGGGAAAATAGATCTGATGGGATAATAACTACTCCAAGTTTTTGTTGATATTTTCTGAAGTGTGTTTGGGAAATTAATGATTTAGCACTGCTGTAATGAATCCTGTCTGTGATATTATTAAGAAATTCGTCTAGGAAAAAGGCTTATTTCACATTTTTCCTGTCATATGAGCTCTTATCCTTGCAAATTTCAGACTGAGTTCAACTTGTGAGCATTCTTGATTGTCTGAGTGCATCATTACAATTTTCCTTTTTTTTTTTTTTTTTTTTTTTTTCTTAATTCCTTTTTCAAGAACTTGAAGGATTGCCATTTTATTGTTTAACATTCTCATGTCATGAGAACTTATAGACTACTCAACATGTGTAGTTGCCCACAGCTGAGGAAGAGATACATAGGACAGTGTGATCCATATGTTCTCTTTCATTTTGAATATCTCCACTGAAATAATCATTACAGGTGATATATAATGTAAACTGTTGATTTTGTTGTCTTCCTTAATTAGGAATGCAGTTGCTGTCAACTGATAACTGGAACAACAAATGATGCTAAGCATCTGAGTAACAAATCCAGACACAATTAGATAATGCCTCACTCACTGTGCAACTCATAAGCTTTTGTTCTATTAGTCATGGGAATCTTACATGATTATGGCCGAAAATTTGGTATTCAATATATTATCAAATTATTCGTGAACTCAATGCCATGCGCCAGTTAATGTCACTATGTGTAATAAGATGCTCTGACATAAGATGATTTCATATGGATGCAAATAGGTTCTACTTATTTATATTTGCATTTTTATTATGGAAACCTTTTTTTCTTTATGATGCCCATTTATGGCTTATCATTCCATTTGTATTACTTAACAGACTTTTAGCCGGAAGCTGGTCCACATATTGTCAGGGTTGCTTTTTTTAGCATCCTGGCCAATCTTTAGGTACATTTTGTTTCTGTTGAAAGATCTTGATTCTACATTCTATCCTCTTGTTCACAATTTTATTTGCTCCAAAAGTAGCTAAACGATGGATATTAGATTAGCACATCTACAGGGGCGCGCTATTTTGCTTCCATAGTGCCCTTCATAAATTGCTTAAGACTTTTGGTGAACGGCCTTTCCCTGACTACGGATGAAGGGCTTATAAAATCAGTTAGTCGAGAGGGAAAGCCAGAGTAATTCACTAGCATCACACTGTCAAATCAAATTGTCTTCTGTATTTAATAGTGAAAATGGATTTTATTTTTCATTTTTTTATTTTTATGTTCAGGGAATTGCTTAAAGGTCCTCTTTATTATGTTCTCGTCTTGATTTTATGTGCCGTTGCGTTTTGGCGGGAATCCCCTATTGGAATGATTACGCTCTCGATGATGTGTGGTGGTGATGGTAAGAGGCTCACATCTTCAGATTTAATTTTACTGAAATGTTGTGTAGACCCTTAAACTCGCTCACTCTTAGGTATTGCTGATATAATGGGAAGAAAATTTGGCTTCTTAAAATTACCTTATAATTCACGGAAGAGCTGGGTCGGAAGCATATCCATGTTTCTCTTTGGTTTCTTGGTTTCTTTTGGGTATGTTTGCTATCACTTAGGCTATGTTTGGTAAAACTAGCTGATAAGCTAATTTACTTGTGACTTATAGCTTAAAAGCTAGTTTATATGATTATAGTGTTTGGTAAAATTAGCTGATAAGCTAGCTGAAATAAAAATTTCAACGAGCTTATTTGAAAAGCCACCCAAAGAAGCTTATGAGATAAGTTCGAGCTTTTTAAAAAAACTCGTCCTACCAAACAAGCTTATTTGACTACTGAAAACTTATAAGCTAACCAAATAAGCTATAAGCTAGTTTATTTGGTTACCAGACATAGCCTGAAACATTTCTAATTCATTGCTTAGTGGTTACTTGTTTTGATATTTAGAATGTCACATTATTTCCTTCTTTCAATATTATTCCCTTAAAAAAAATGGGACTACAGGATGCTCTATTATTATGCGGTCTTGGGCTACATTCAACTGGAGTGGATCAAAACTGCAAAACGAGTTGCTTTGGTTTCGCTGGTGGCAACTGTTGTTGAATCCCTCCCAATAACTGGAATTATTGATGATAACTTGTCTGTTCCTTTGGTTAGCATAGTTACTTCATTTTTGGTTTTTGGTTCTAGCTGGTCCCATGTGTAGTCTCTTGTTATTGCAGTTGTTATTGAATGTCTGTTCTTTGAATAGTTTCTTAAATTCTTGATTTGTGTCTCCCTTCTTTTATTTTTTTCTGCATGTATTTGCATAGTGGCTCTTGATGTGGTTCTGGCAAATGAAACGAGCCTTGTGACAGCACATGGTTTTTAAATAAAATGGTTAGTTACAAAAGAAGTATAACTATTTTTTATTTTTTTTTATTATATAAACAAGTATGGTAGTACTTTGGAAATTGTAAGTAGTCAATTTAAATATTGCGAATTCAGAAGATGAAATAAAAATAAACATGAATAACAAGTGTTGTCATTTAATATAGAAAACGGGAGAATCGGAAAAGGTGTTAAAAAAAATGATAATTTTTGAGATTGTGGATGAGTATAAGATAAAATATGCCTACAGTTTTAATTCTTTGNCCGATTTTTCCCAAATTCTCCATGAAGGGTGATTGTGAATTCAACTAGCTTTTAATTGGTTATTTTAATTATAGTTAATTTGAAAAAAAGGTTATATAGTTAGTTGTTAATGGATATATTAAAATAATATTTAAAATAAAATAATTAAAAGTTGTTATGATGTAAAATTTGGAGAAAAATAATTGGAAGTGATAGTTAGTTAAAATTATGTAAGTGAACAAATAATGAACTAAATGTGATGTGATGTGTAAGAATGATTGATTGATATTATTTAATTATATTGATAATAATGAAAATAGTGGAGTTGTGTTAAAACTGAATTAAATTTGAGTTTTGATTAATTTTTTTTGAATTGGATTGATAAGCAATCACCCCTAAGTCACTTTATTTCCAAGAAGATTTGATAAAATGTCTACAACTTCTTCTAGTGCAAATCCAACGAGAGATCGACTTCATTCAACCAGAGAGGTACTGAAGATTGTCAGAACTCAGTCTGTTTTCATGGAGCCGAAGCAGATGTCTTCACGTCAACTATCGATCTCAACTGATGTTGATTTCGGCGTTGCCGCATGCTACATATCCCATATGGTGAATCGCATCCTCATCTGCTCTCACCGCCGCAACCGTGTGTCTTCCCATTGTTATCTCGCGCCCGTAACACTCTAGACGCTCAACGACGAGCTGCACGCGTGCTGCCTGAAGCGGTTAAATGTTGGCAAGGCCTTGTTCCTCGATGGCGTCGATTTTGGCGGTTGCCTCTGCACCGCAGTTGAAGTCGTGGCGATGCCGAGAGAAGTTGCAGTCCTCACGAAGGCTCTCCCCTTCTGCGTGGGCCATGGGTTTGACCTCCACCGGCTCAAGTAGGGCTACTCTATGAAGAAAATAACAGTCAAAATGTCAAATCCCTAATTTCCGATTCAAATCATCTCAAACCATAATAATCGAAAAACAAAAGTATGGTTGAATCTAATTTCGATAATCCAATCGCTCCAAAGCCGACGATCAAATTCGTGTTCAGCTACGGCGGCCGCATGCTCTCCCACTACCCCGACGACAAGCTCTGGGAAAATTTTGAGAAAATTAGTTCGATTAAAATATTGGATATTGGATACACATCATATTTTTTTGATAAAAAACACATCATATTTTGTAAATATTGGATACAAAATCAAGAATGAACAGTGTAAATAAGGTCTATTGGCTATGAGTCCATGACATAACCGCAAGTCAAAAACCGTTCTTTTTACTTCAGAGGTAAATATTGCACGCCCCATCGTATAGAAAACCTCGTGTGGACTCTCTTTTGCCTGCGTCTGTTCATCGAGTTCCAGTCTGTTTTGCTCGTCCACCGTCTTGTGCTCAACCCTCTTCTTTGTTCAGGTTCCACTTGTCTCCTTCTTTCTTTTCAGTTTTCCACTTTCTATTCGTCTTTGCCTGTTTGCTGGTTTCTCTTCAATCCCCAAGTGTTTGGTGGATGATTAGATCTCATTGTGCTACAAACCCTTGTATCTGATTAAATTAATTCCTAGTTACTTAGTATGGTTAGATCTAGTTTTTCCGTCAGGTTGATTATTGGATTTAGCGGAAGGGCTTCGAATCTGGATCGAAATATTAGCATCCTGAGATTTCGATCTCCTTATAGAAAATTCGATCCTACTGGTTATGGTATTCCCCTCATTGCTGGGGGGTCTACACGTACCCATACGGGCGTGTGTTAGTGTGTTGATCCAATTGTATAAAAGCGGTGAGTTAGGTAGGGCCCAACAGGCCTTCATTATAATGGAGTTTGCATTTTTTTTTTCTTCTTGAAGTTTCATTGTGTTAGAACTTGGAATAGATTTTGGGGAGAATTTGACATCCACTACAATGGCTCAAAAAGTAGCTCAAAATATGATACTTAGGACTTGAAATTCATGTGCCCAAATAGTCTGATGGATGTGTTATTATGGATCCGAAATCCTCCGTCCATCAAAATGGAAGTTTTGGCTAAATTGGTTTTTTGAGCACTGTATGATCAAGTTGTATAGTCTTTTTCTTGTTCTTTATTCCCTCACCTTGGTTGTTTCATATACTTGCATTCTCTATGGTGCAGCCTTTGCTTCATCTGTATTATGGCATCCAGCAGAAGCCAGAATGGGATTCAACTCTTACTAGCTGCAGAGCAAGAAGCTCAGCACATAGTAAATGCTGCTAGAACTGGTGATAACTCTCACATTGGAATTTTTGTTTAACATCTTATTGCATTAATTTTAGTAGCCTTTGTTATGAAGAGAATAACAATGTACGTCGTGAAAACCTATTTTTTTGCTTCTACTTTATTGGTGGTTTATGCCTAGGATTGTAAATGATTAAGTTCTATTTAAGTTCTATTAGACGTGACACCTTTTCTGTTATGATCTTAAGATGGAAAGCTTGGTCAAGAAGAGGGGTGTTAGGAAAAAGGAAGTGGGAGTTTTTTTGTTTCCTCTTTTGTTGAAAAGCTTGAAGGAATTGGGAAGATGGATCATTTATACTATATAATTGAAAAACGTGGCAAACATTACCTAGAAAGTGTTATTATTTTCTAAAATCTGCTAAAAAAATGTTAGTTTGCCGTGGTATTATGTTCTTGTGCGTGGTTAGTGTTGTTGATTATGAATCTGAACTGTTAGCTGATCAGTGAGGTCTGAATTAAGACATAGATTGATACAGTTCTGAACCTTTTAAGACCAGCTGCTTTAGGCATTACTCTACTCAACAGTAGTGACAATTAATCTTTCATATACTGATTAGAGTTCTGTGAGTAGCATATAAGGATAGCTTATTTTAATTTTATTTTTTTATATAGATTTCGCTATTAGATTGTTCTGCCAAAAGTGCTTTGAGCAGTTGAGCTCAGTCAGACCAACTTATTTTCTTTTGGTATTTGCCTTCACATGGCTCATACTGAGACTTTGTAGATTTTTTGGCTTAACGTTATTCAAGTTTTGAGATACCAAAATCTGCATAGAATGGGTTCTCAGAACAAATGTTTATGCTCACGTTGGTTTTCTTGCTCAGCAAAGCAAGCCAGATTGAAACAAGCAAAAGAGGAGGCTGAGAAGGAAGTTGCTGAGTTCCGTGCCCAAGTGGAGGCTGATTTCCAGAGGAAGCTAGCGGAGGTGAGAGTTTGCCAACAGAACTTCTATTAAATGGCAATATTGTATCTGTGGATTTACATCTTCTCCTATCTGTCGATTTAAATACAACAGTATACATTTCACCACCCCGTTCCATTTAGCATGACTTACTGATAGGAGAACTATTCTCTTTTATAATGGTTTTCAATGGGAAAACATGCTTTATTCATTTTGAACTCCTCATTTCTCATATGTTATATTTGAAGTAAAATCTAGGGTTAAGTTACTTAAAGTATTCCTGATATTCTGTCTAATTACAGTATTATTATTTCTGGTACTCCGTTAATGAATATCTTATATTAATTTGTTTTCCTTTTACAAATATTTCACTTTAACAGGATTAATTTGTTAACAGAAGCAATTGGCAAGCGAATACTTTTACATATATATTTCAGAGACCATGCAAAGAGTAGCTTCTGTAGCCAACAAAAATTTATATTATGGCTATGTTTCGTAAACCTACTAATAAACTAGCTTATAGCTTTGAAGTGAATTTCGAGCTTGTAGCTCATAGCTTATGACTTGTGGCTGAAAAACTAGCTTATATGATAAAAGTGTTTGGTAAAATTAGTTGATAAGCTAGTTGAAAAAAAAAAATCAATGGATTTATTTGAAAAGCTACTCAAGGAAGCTTATGAAATAAGTTCGAGCTTTTTAAAAAAACTCGTCCTACCAAACCAAACTTATTTGAATACAGGAAGTTTATAAGCTAATTAAATAAGCTATAAGCTAGTTTATATGTTTACCAAACGCAACCTATATGTTTTTAATGTAGTGCTTGAATTCTTAATTCGCCTGTCTAACTGAAAAAAGAAAATCTTATTTTGTCTTTTGGTTTATATTTTCCTCTTCATGTTCGGTCGTACAGAGTAGTGGGGACACAGGTGCTAATGTCAAGCGCCTTGAACAAGAAACTGAAGAAAAGATCAAACACATTAAGACAAAGGCTTCGAGGATCTCTCCTGATGTTGTCTCCATGCTTCTGAGGCAGGTCACCACAGTAAAGAACTAAGTATTGGTCAAGCTGAGTGAATTTCATCAGGAGTGATGTGGGTTTTCTTCTAGTTCTGTACCATATTTTTCATTTCTTGTTGGTGCAGTTGTTTCGATTTATTACAAAATAAAGTTACAGCGATTATATTTCTCCATGAGCTCCTCTTAAGAAGGAAACTCTGATGAATGTCAATTTATATTAGTGTATATTGTATGCTGTTGGTGTTGGGTTTATGAAACTGAGATTTGATGTCGTAATATCCTTTGTGGAATTTTCATATGTTATTGCAACTTTCTTGGGTCGAGTCAACTAGATCTTGTTGTTTTTCTCAATTTTTTTTTCTCCTACAAATAAATCTCATGTTCGTCGTGCAAAGAAGTGTAAGACATATTTTTCCAACAAAATATTATGGGAGAAATTTATTACAAATAAACCTTACATTAATACAAAATATAGAAAATTACAAGTCGATAAAAATTAAAATTTTTATACATAATCTATATATTACTTTTAATAATCAGGTTTGTTCTATATATGTTCAACTAGATCATGTCTTAGTTGATGATGGACATGTTTGTATTGCACTTCGACTCGTATTTGTAAGGACGGACTAAAATTTGTTGGATGATCTTGATGAGTTTGGATAAATGGTCCACTATCGTCATTGGACCAATTGGTTGCCTCATCATCCTTGTCATCAATTATCATATTATTTAAATAATACACGATAACATTATTTTACTGAGATCTTCCTTGTACAAAAAACAAGCTGGACCACGTACAATTGTTCATTATGACTGGAGCACTCTGAAAGCACGTTCAACATATTTTATTGTAGCCTCTTGCCGTTGCTTAAACTTTTTCCTCTTTGAATCTTCTGGATACTAAAAGCTTTTCACAAATGTTGTCCATTTCGGATAGATACCATCTGTTAAGTAGTAACATTTTCTGCAATGTGTTTCATTTATTATAAAATTTACCTCCGGTGCTTCTCCATGTAAGACATCGTTGAATAGTGGAGACTCGCATAACACATTAATATCATTTCGTGATCCAACGAGTCCAAAAAATTCATGCCACATCCACAAGTCTTGTGAGACTACTGCTTCAAGTATTATAGTGGTACTCCATGATCCCCTCGAGTGTATGAGCCCTGCCAATACACCAGACAATTTTTTTATTTTCAATGCATACAATCAAGACTCCCCATCATTCCCGGGAAACTATGTTTGCCCTCATGTAATATAAGTAGTCGTTGAATGTCAACATTGGGTGAACACAAGAATTGAGATGCAAATATTTGTCGCACACACCAACAAAAATCGATGAGACTTCTATTTGCTTCTTGTTCTGACATGCACAAGTATTCATCACACTGATTGGCGGGTGCTGCATATGTCAATTGGCATTAGACATGGCCAAAGGGTCGCCCGGCCCGCCGACCCGGTACTGACCCGGCCCGGACCCGGCACTGACACGGCCCGGTCAAACCCGTTAACCACGGGTCCGGAACCGGCCCGGATTTCAGACGGGCCGTGTAAGGGTCATACATTTCATGACCCGGCCCGGAGGGTCAGGGCCGGGCCGGGTCAATGACCCTTCTTTTCAATTTTCTTTTTTTTTATACCTTTTTTAAAAAAAAAACACGGACCCGGCACGGCCCGGACACGAACCCGGCACGAGTATAGGTCCGTGCCGGTTCAGGGTCAGTGTTTTTGAGCCCGGCGACCCGGCGGGCCGGGCTGGGTCGTGACCTGGCCCGGGTTTTGGCCATGTCTAATTGGCATATAACAACGTTACACTTTTGAATAGGTGTAAAGCATTTTTTACCACTCGCACCTTCTCTGCTCTTGAAGTAATCATAATGATTTTCAATAGAATCGACAATACGAAAAAATAAACATCTAAACATACGAAATCTACGACGAAATAAGCTCTCGTGATAGGTGGGCTCGTTAGCAAAATAATCTCCTAGAAGTAGAGTATGTCTAGCTTCACGATCCCAGTGCACTACTCGCTTTGTTGAATTTTCAGCTTGTTCGGCCTCTTGGAACTCATTAATAGCTGTTTCCATCAAGACAAATTCAGCCTTTACGAGAGAATCATCAAACTTATTTTAAAGAACACACTATATACTACTATGTCATTAGTACATCTAGACATCATATTGAAAATAAATAATGAGGAAAAACAGAGACTTGAGAAAAGAAGAGTGATACAACAAGCAAAAAAAGATAATGTTTGTTGAAAGTTGTAGTGTCTAAATGAATCCACTAAATGCTCCATTTATAGTGAGAAGATGTGATGTTAAAGTTATATTTTACAAGTGGTAGGTTGAAACCACGTGAACATGTCTTTCAAAAATAATTAATTTGGTTGGTGGACATTTATTCTGTTAAAATATAATGCACGTGGTTGGTTAGAGACAATGAAAAATAAAAAATGACAAAATTAAAATAAAAACACGCCATAGATACATAAATTACAATACAATTTTTTTCAAATAAAGTATGATTCATATTCAGGTTAGATGTTCCTCTTTTAATTATATAGTGAAGTAATTATGTAAATATATATGTTCACTTACGTAGATATGCAAATAAATTTTCCATTAACGTGTCTGTATGTAAATGAGCTTAAAAAAATTGATACAAATAATAGACGACAATTGTAATAGTTGGGTTTATATGTGCTCATCGCCTCTGACCCGCCATCTCCAAGTCAACAACAGCCCGACACGGCTTGAAAAGACAAAAAACCCAACATAAAAAATTAGAAAAGAAGTATTAATTTGTTGTTTTGCACTTTGCATACAATAGGAATAGGAATAGGAATTATAATAAAGAAGGAAGGCGAAATTTGCAGTGAATGATCGATGGCGTTGTCTAGGCTACGGCATCCAGTGATCCGCCGCGCTCCGTCGCTTATCAGGGCTCGATTTTTGGCTTACTCATCCTCTCGCTCACCCCTTATTCGGTACCTTTCTATCTTTCTCGCAAAAGTAATTTGTGAATTTGGAGTTAATCTGGAAAGGTAATACCGTTTCTGGAGAAATTCGGATCGTAAATTGGATAAGGTTCTAGATTCTGAGTGAAATTTGGGACCTGGATATTGTTCTGCTGATGGATATGTTTCTGGTGTCTTGTCGTGAGAAAATGGCTGATAGATGTGATTTCTGAAGTGGTTCCTAGTAATGTAGGAAATATCATACTATATTGTCCTAGGAGAACACGTTTATTCCCGGTTGTTGGCTTTAATGACTTTTCTGACATTGAGATACTCTTTTGAATTTATGAGGCATTTTGCTTTTCCATTTGCCTGAGATGTGATTTGGTAACCATGGTAGTAGAGTGAACGTTACTGAACTTGTCTCATTTGGTGTGCTTGTAATCCAACATGAGTTGCAACTAGTAGATGCTTGGCTGGTAATTCTAGCGAATATGAAAATAAAACACAAACAAACAATCTAAAGATATGTTAATGTGATACATTTTCAAGGCAGTAGAATTTCGTGTGAAATTTTATCTCATGCTTTCAGCGATCATGTTCTCTTATTAGGCGAAATAATTTATTGATAACTTAACTATACTCAAATTTAGGCATTTCTCGGACGATGCAACTTTCATTGCTAAGTTTTTGACCAATGGGTGAAAAATATAAGTCATAATATATACGAATGCATACTTTAAAGAAAATAAGCAAACAAAAATGTAAATGTAATACTAATTGTTGATGTATTGTAATTATTAGAGGATCTGTGAAGTGTAGACAAAAGTTGTAACAAGTACAACGAATATATATATATATATACATGTATATTTATTAGTATATCAATAAGATGGTTATCGTTGTTTTCAAGACTTTTTGGAAAAAGTTCCCGGGGGAAATAGATTCCTAGAACAGAAGGTTTCTGCAATGTTGGATTGCATTCCTAGGAATGAGAATATTACAGAATCTAAATATTTTGTTTTTCTTCTTCAACTTCTATTACTAACTTCATTTTGGTAAATACTTTTCAGTAGACTACATATAATTTTTTAATAAATATATAGAGTTAGGTTTTGAGTTTATGAGTTCTGTCCTTTTCCTTAATTCACCGCTATGTGAGGACAGCGCTACTGGCCCATTTTAGTTTACGATGGATAGAAGAAATAATGAAATTTGCATTATCACATTAAATAAAGATATGTTTCTGCGCACTTTATATTGCATTTGCATTACCTGAGGTTCTTATCATGTATGGTTGACTCGATATATACTGTACATAAATTTTATTGCTCAGTTACTTCAATCTTGATAAACCTGTCATTTTCTGACACCTTTTGTACATAGAAGTTGTTGAGTTCACTTTGATCTTTTTTCATGGTATTTGGTAAAGAGTTATGACAAAGGATACTTGATATGAACTTCACTACCATGTTTCAGTTTTGACATATGTTGTTCTGTAATCTATAGTTACAAATTAGTGTTGCATTCTTTCTGTCATTTTTATGGAAATGTGTTGGTGCAGAACTAGCCAATTAAACTCAACCAGTGATGTTGCAGATTCATTATTAAGGTTTGCATCACTTCTCAACTATTACTTTCCTTCTTATTTGTTGTATTATGAAGTTTGCTCAATTCTCAATCTTGTGAGAGTGCAAAGTACATACACACACATCCACACATATATCTACACACACACACACACACACACACACAACTCTAGGATCAAGTGGAAAAAGAAATAACAATCACAAACCCTAATCTACGGGATCAAAATAATTCCTTTAATTTTGCTCTAATCCATACCACATATATACATTAACACTCCCCCGAGCTGGAGCATATATATCAATTATGCAAGTCAAAAAGTAAATAACAATCACAAACTTTAATCTACGGGGTCAGAATAATCCGTATAATTGTGCTATAATCTATACCATATATATGCACACACACACATTAACACACTCGTTCGAGCTGGAGCATATATCAATTATGTCGAGCTAGTTACAAAACGTTTTTTCATCCATATTATGTGTCTCTAAGGAGGTCTTTTGATTTAACATATCCAGTAGAGATGAACCCTTCCACTTTGTCACTAACAAAGTGACAATCTCTCTCCATATGCTTGGTTTGTTCATGAAATACACGATTCGACGCAATTGCAGCCTGGTTGTCACACCAAAAATTTTGTGGGAAGTGTAATCTCGTATCCCACTTCTTTCAGTAATTGGTGAATCCATATTATCTCGTGTAGAATTGGCCACAAACCTATATTCTGCTTCGGCAATCGAAAGAGAAACAACGTTTTGTTTCTTTCTTCTCCATGAGACAAGATTACCTCCTACAATTGTATCATACCCGAAAGTTGACCTTTAATCATCTCTACAATCTGCATACTCGGCATCTTACTCCTGTAAAGCATTTTAATGTGAAAGACCAGATCGACCACATGTACATTAGCATCCACATTTCTTTACACATTCATAGTTTATATCGAACCCAACTTTACTACTGATTTGTAAATATGGCCAGGTCGTATAATGAGTTATGAATATCTAACTTTTTTTTTGGTTCCTTTATTGGGCAATATGTTTCAACACTTAAACTTGGTCAGCTATGTAGTCAGTTAGACTGGTTCCTGTCACAGTGTTCCTGCACGTTGCATCAGATAGAAATTTTAGAGTGCATGTTGCTAGTGTTTTATTTAGGGGGCTTGCTTTAGAGTAATATTTATCAAATGAGCTTAATCTGTTATCCACTGTTTTTTGTTCACCGTCCATTAACTTATGATGAATTTGGCAGACCATCAGCTTTTCCGCCGATCATTGGCATTCGCGATGATTCTTCCAAGACTAAGGTTGGTGGTGAAAGGTATTAGTGTTTTTTTTTCAGCTGTTATCCTCCTTTTTCTGATTCTCTTCATGTGGATTTTACAGTTTCGAATTGGTGTCCGCTACTATTCATCTGCAGGTACAAATCTTTTTCTCTACCGCAAACCTATTATCGATATTCATCTCTCAATAGTTTTAGGAATTAGATGAATCTGGTTTAAATGAAATTCCTTCCACCATTTTATATTGTTTCAATGAATGATTCTATCCTGCTTATCCTTGAAGCATATATTCATTTCTAAGTTTACTCGGAATGGAAAGTTGTATTTTAAAGATATACCTTAGAAAAGTTCTTTGTTTTGGCAGTATATAAGTTGATATCTTATAAAATGCTTGTAAATATCCATGTTAATTGATGCTTTAACTCAAACTGGACAGTAAAGCCACTTTTATGTCTGCTTTTGCCGTTGTACATAAACTTTGTAGCCCTTTCTGGTGTCAAGGGTTGTGTTGCAATGGGTTGAATGTCTGTTTATATTTTGCATTTAGTATTGAAACTCCGACCGTTGGAATTTTTCTTTAATTCTATGTTCTGCTAGTGTAAGACTTAAGAAAAGGAAATAATAGGCTTATTCAAAGAAATTGGGCGATTGAGTACATAAATCCGAAACTATTTCCAGCACATAGAGAGCTAAACAGCCTTATATTAGTGAGCTCCCTACTTTTAAGTAGATTTGTAGAAGCCTTTTTGGAAAGGACCGGTGCGCTAAAATTCTTTCTAATACCCAAAAGCAGGGTCTTCATGTTCTCAGACATATTGTGAAGATTATCATATCCAACTGAACCCACCCTTAGGGGGCGATTGTTTATGGTTTGTACAGTAAAAAAATCAATCAAAACTCAAATTTAACTCAACTTTAACCCAACTCCACTATATTCCATATTATCAATATAATTATATAATATCAACTAATCATTCTTACACATTACATCAACTTTAATTCACTATTCATCCACTCACATAATTTTAACTTACTATCACTTCCAATCATTTTTCTCCTACTTTGTATCAAATCAACGTGCCAGAGCCGTGACTTTTGCTCCTTTCTCTCTCTCTCTCGTTTTTTTTTTTTTATTTTTTCGATCTCTTCCTTTCGGTTCGAGTCTTTTTGTGTTTCTCTTGGGTTTCATCTCTAGCCTACCCCGACTTGCTTGGGACTAAAGGCTATGTTGTTGTTGTTGTATTTAAATATTATTTTAATATATCCACTAACAACTAACCATACCACCTTTTTTCAAAATTAACTATAGTTAAAAAACAAACCAAATAAAAACTAGTTGAATCCATAAACAATCACCCACTTAATCTCTAGAATTGATATTTTGAAAAACATAGTTGAGAAATCTTTTGGCTTTGCTAGCTGATATTTACTTGAAATGAGCAATGATTGTCAAGTTTTAATGCAGAGCTCCCCGAGCATACAGTGGTTCAAATGCCTGCATTGTCACCTACAATGGTAACAGATTGTAATGATTGCAGCATATGATTAAAGTTTCTAGCTCATTAAGAATTCTGATATGCTTTTCTTATTACAGAGTCAAGGAAACATAGCAAAGTGGAGGAAGAAGGAGGGGGATAAGGTCAGTCTGGTCCTCCATAGCTTTCCCTGGCATACTGTGATACCTAAACTAAATTGCAGAAATTGATGATTCAAATTATGAATGTTGTTCCGAAGAGTGATGGGATATCTATGCATTTGATTTAACTATCTTATGTTCTGTATCCAACAGATTGATGTGGGGGATGTAATATGTGAAATAGAGACAGACAAAGCTACCCTGGAGTTTGAAAGCCTTGAGGAAGGGTAAACTATTGATCTCAATCTGTCATAATTGCATATAGACCGGCCATCATTTTTTCCTTAAAAGTGCAGTTATTATAAAAATTGAAAGTTTTCAAGTTTTTTTTTTTTAAATGTTTTCAAGTTTTTTTTAAATGTTTTCAATTTTAAGATAGGTGAGCACTTATATATGGGACGAGTGTTGTAATTTGGGATGTCCAGAATATAACCTGCAATAAGGATGTACTCCATATATTTTTGTGTGTTATATGCATCCATATTTTAGTAGATAGTTGTTATTGTTGCCTTCATTCTTTCCGTTTACATTTTATTTTGATCTTTCTTTCTTTCCCCCCTGATGAATGTGTTTCACCAAAATTTTCTTTTGGGTTGACTTCCATGTGGATTTGTGCTAATAATGCTTCTTAGTGCATTCTTTGACATGTATTGTCTAACAGTTCTCCAAGACATCACTCAATTCGTATTGTGTTGAGTAGTAATTGATTTGATGTTATTGTGCATTATGGGCATTAATACAATCTAACTTATGTAATCGACACTACATTTTATGCAATCTACCTGATGCAACACATTTGTTTCCCTTTCAACATTTCCTGCAGGTTCCTGGCTAAGATACTTGTGCCTGAAGGTTCAAAAGATGTGCCTGTCGGACAGCCTATAGCAATTACGGTTATGTGCTTTAGACTTCTAGTTACCTTTCCTTTCTATCTTTGCCTATCTTCACTGTTTCAAATACGAATCTATCATGACATGGCCCGAGTTTGTCTAATGTCCACAATTTTGGACTATTAAAGCACAACTAACTAAAATGGAATACACGCGTCTTCGGATCATCCTGAATCTTTTACTGCCCTTCCACTGAGACCCATCACTTAAGGGCATGATTGTATACAAAAATTTTCACTCAAAATTTCATTCAACTCAAAATCTAACTCAACTCCACTATCCTCAATATTATCATTATAATTAAATAATACCACCCAATCATTCTTACACATCATATCAACTTTAATTCACTATTCATCCACTCACATAATTTTAACTAACCATCACTTCATATCATCTCTCTCCCACTTTTACATAAAATCAACTTTAATTATTTTATTTTAAATATTATTTTAATATAAATTCAAAATCCTACTAACAACTATTTATACCATATTTTTTCAAATTAACTGTGTTTAACCAAAAAATCCACTTTGAGTGAAAAGCTTTGTATCCAAACACGCCCAAAGGTTATCACAACAAGACCTGTGGCTACTTTGCATCTATTCTGCTGCTGAAGATGGTTGTACGACAATAAATTTCTATAAGTAAACATCTGCTGTTACTCTTTAGATATTAGTTGCATTTGGTGTTATTTGCAAATTAGCATCATTTGGATGATGCGAAAGCTGATTTTTGGTCATGATTAAGCAGGTAGAGGATGCAGATGATGTGGCTAATATTCCTGCAACAGTTACTGAGTCAGAAGTCACAGATAAAACATCTAGTGAACAAACTGTGGGGCATGGTGACAGGATGCAGGAATCAAGCTCAGGGAATGTTAGTACATTCAAACTTCCTCCACACATTGTTCTTGAAATGCCGGCATTATCACCAACTATGGTAAGGAGTAAGGACTACACGTGTTGTTAAGTTGTATGCTGCAAAAATGTTTCAACATTTTGTCCAGTTCTGAAGAGTGTTCCTTTATCTTCCTTTTCTCGTTTGATCCTCAGAACCAGGGAAATATTGTAAAATGGAGGAAAAATGAAGGTGACAAGGTAATACAACTATTTCATGTGAAACAGGTTCTTTGTGCGCTACTTTTAAGTTGATTTGACAAAATTTGTTTATCTCTGCTGTTGCAGATCGAGGTTGGTGATGTTATATGTGAAATTGAGACAGATAAGGCAACCCTTGAATTTGAAAGCCTTGAAGAAGGGTAATGAAATATTTCCAACACCATTTGTTATACTTTTAAGAGTTTGAGTGAGGTCTTTAAGCAACATTTCACTGTTCCCTGATAATTCGCGTTGACCATGTAGGCATGATGAAAATATTGATGAACAGTTTGAACAATATAATAGAAAATAAGAAAAGTAATTCTACTATATGTATTATTCTTTCTTCAAGTCTTGTGTTTTGAGAGTTGTTTGATAAGGTGGTTATTACGTTCTATTTCATTAATTGAAATTCTGGGATATTCAGCACCCACTTTATTTGACATGCTCTGTGTCATCAGAGAAGTATTTGTATTCATTTGTGTAGTGGTCGCATGAAAATGTACTTTGGATTTTTGAATTCAGGTTCTTGGCCAAAATTTTGGCTCCAGAAGGATCAAAAGATGTAGCGGTTGGGCAGCCTATTGCAGTTACTGTAAGTTCATAACGAAAACACTTGTATGGTTGTATTTAATCACATTGTTCCTCCTGTAGAATCTAAAACGAGTTCCCATATGCTTGGTCAATGTGATCATGTCTCATTTGTAAATTGATTAGTTCATTTTGGGATTTATGTCTTGCTAGGTTGAGGATCCCAACGACATTGAAGCTGCAAAAGCATCCACTGGTGGTAATCTGAGTGTGAAAGATGAATTGCCTGTTCAACAGAAAACTGAAAAGGATGTCGAACCTCAGATGACAGGTTTCAGTCGAATTAGTCCTGCAGCAAAGTTGCTAATACTAGAACATGGACTAGATGCATCATCCATAACAGCATCTGGTCCCCGTGGTACTTTGCTAAAGGGGGATGTTTTAAATGCAATGAAGTTCGGGAAAGGATCAGGTAGTGTCACTGGATCTAAAGAAAAGGTTTCTTCGTCACCTAGTCAAACTTCTGCCTCCTCGCCAGTGGGATCAAAACCCTCCGTACAGGACACAAATGCTTATGAAGATCTACCAAATAGTCAAATAAGAAAGGTACTATTTGAATTTATGGTTAATTTATATTGTAGTTATGATTATCCTTTCTCTTTAATCAACTGCATGAATGGGGATTCTGTTTTTGGGAGTCTACTGACATGACCTCACACCCAAATTCTCACTCATCTCATTGGACTACAATATTAATTCAAGTTTGTTTGGGGTTGTCTTCCCTGGAGAGTATTTTTCTTCAACTAATGGACGAAAAGTATATGCTTATTGCAAATGGAAATGGCATATCTTTGTTGAAGTTTGTTGTTTACACTTGAAAGGATAAACAGCTGGTATATGAGTGAAGGAATACAAAGTTGGTTAAATTGGTTAATGTGAACACGGTGTTTCAAGGACAGATGAGGAATCTGCTCGAATTGAATGTCGTTTGTGGTAATAGTGAAAAACACAATTTGTATTGTTATACATTTATTAGTCTAAACTCTGAACACATGTCTGGCATAGCACCACCATGGTAATTTGCTAGTGTAAACTGTCTTCAGAAAAATGTTGAACTATTTGCCCATATATTACCTAGGAGTAGCAATATCGTCCTGCTTCTACAATCTTTGGCTGCTGACATGTTTATAGGTTGTCTTTGCAAATACTGGTAGTATTTATTTTGTTTTACTTTTCACCACACACAGATCAAAACTTAAAAAATAATAATTATATTTCTTAATATTAGATAAATATTTTGAATCTGATCTTTCTCTGCCTAGTCATAGGAGTTTTTTTAATTATCTTTGGTAGATCACCAGTTTACAAACTGAAGTGAGTTCTAATTCCATGCACCCATATTTGAAGAAGCCACAGAAACTTTTGATGAATGTGAAGTAGATTAGGCTAAACCTCAACCTGTAGATTGCTGTAACATGAAAGGGTAGTTAAAAAATATAAATGAATAATACCTGCTAAACGCACTGGTAAAGTCTTAGTTACGTATTGTTCTTGTCAGTTTGAATGCACTTCCATAAGATAATATTTGACAGCATCCATTAGATAATCTTTTATACAAGGTTCTATACGCATACTGCATCTTTGTTTATCTTCTCTNTTATTGGAATCAAAACAATCCATACCTCATCTATATTTATCTACAGGTTTCAATTAGTTGTTGATATGTTTTTGTTTCCATACCTGCTATGCTACACAAATGATCCTTATTTTTTAATGACTTGAATTAGATGTTGTACTGGATCCTCTTCTCTCGTTCAGAAAGAATCTTAAAGGTATATAGTCATCTTATATGATATATCTATTGGTTCTTGTAGTGATGGAAACACTTATTATGAGTTGAGTGATCTCATTTGTTACTTTGCAGCAAAGTATGACGTTAAAGTCTCTGTAAATGATATTGTAATCAAAGCTGTTGCTATCGCACTGAGGAATGTACCTGAAGCAAATGGTAAGAGTTTTAATATTGCGTGATTTCTTTTTTGATCATTGAGTAGGGAGATGATGAGTCAAGTGAGGTGAAAACTGAAGAATAAGAAAAAGAAATTACAGGGAAAAGAAAAGAAGAGTTAAATGATTGCCATTTATTACAAATTATTCTACTGTTATCTAGTAAGTTAAAGGTCTTGATTGTCGATTGTCTTTGGAGGTGCAAACTACTTTACACCAAGTACATTCTCAAACAATGAATTTACACCTTGGAAGCTTAAACTATGATGCATAAATATAGTTATGGCAAAAGACATGAATCCGATGAGAGCCTGAAATGTAACCTAGCTCGATAACCCATGAGCTTCTCTCCTTGCATTTTCCACTCGAGTAGTGCTCATCTTACGGTTCATATTCTTCTCGTTTGTTCACGGGCTTATTTTAGTGCCTGTTTTTAGGATCTTTTTTGAAACAGTTTACAGGAGATGGAGTAAATTAATTCTTCTGCTTTTTGAATGCTACTCATTGTCTTTCATCGTTTGTGCTAAATTTATGGAACTTTGTAGCTTATTGGGATTCCAGCAAAGGTGAAATGGTGTTATGCGATTCAGTTGACATATCTATTGCAGTTGCTACAGAGAAGGTATTTTGCAAATTATAGATTATGTTGTAGCAACTTCAGATTTTGATATGTTGATTCACCATATTCTCTCAATGTTAGGGCTTGATGACTCCAATAGTTAGAAATGCAGACCAGAAGTCTATATCATCAATTTCCTCAGAGGTGTGTACAGAAGTCTTGTTTCCATCCAAAATATGTTCTAGTCTTGTGGACCATTTGGTTTCATGAATTAATATTTTCTTTTGATTAATCATTTTTTTTTTATCATGCCACATTTTTTGTTTCTGTAGGTTAAAGAACTCGCTGAAAAAGCACGGGCTGGAAAACTCAAGCCTCATGAGTTTCAAGGCGGCACTTTTAGGTGGCTTTCTGTGCACTTATATTTATGATACAATGAATCTCCCAGTCCTTGTATCTTCCTGATATCACCATAAATTTCTCTTCTTCGTGCAGCATCTCAAACTTGGGGATGTTTCCTGTAGATCAATTTTGTGCAATTATAAATCCGCCTCAGGTTCTCTCTCTATCTCTCTATTCGATTTATATGTAAAAGGCACAAACACGAGTTATATGATTATAATCAGTGAACTGGACGAGTAGTTTACCTAAACTTGACCTAAAAACTCAAAAATAACGTTAGAATTACTTGAATTGGCTTGGAAAGTTTTGAATAATTTCATTGCGATATGCGTTGAGAGTGTACCATGAAATTGCATTATATTATCTTAATGGAGTTTTGTCATTACCTTCTTGAAGGCTGGTATTCTTGCTGTTGGTCGTGGCAATCAAATTGTTGAGCCAGTTATTGGAGATGATGGTACTCCTTCAGTCACTATCCAATGCAAGATTCTTTTTTACTCCTTTTATAATTTGTCTGACTTGTATAATCTTCATTTACAGGGATTGAGAAGCCTGCTGTTGTTACAAAAATGAATCTAACATTGTCTGCCGACCATCGCGTTTTTGATGGAAAAGTTGCAGGTACTTAGGGTGTGATTGGATTTGATTGTTTTTTTTTTTGTTAACCGTATTTAATTTTAAAATAGGTGGTGTAGTTAGTTGTTAATGGGAATTAAAGTTTAAATTAAAATAATATTTAAAATAAAATAATTAAAGTTGATTTGATGTAAAAGTAGGAGAAAAATGATTGGATGTGATGGTTAGTTAAAATTATGTAGTGAATGAATATTGAAAAAGCTGATGTGATGTGTAAGAATGATTGGTTGATATTATTTAATTATATTGATAATATTGAGGATAATGGGATTGGGTTGAATTTGAGTTAAATTTTAATTTTGATTTTTTTATTGGTCAAGTTTATATCAAATCACACCCTTAAGCTTATTCTCTCTCTCTCAAGACTAATGTCTAGTCGTTTTTTCTGATGATTCATTAATGTTTTTCTTTTACTTTCTTTTTATTAAATACCACGGAAGTTGGTAGTCATCCCTTTATGCCAACATTCTTTTTTCTGGTTTTACAACTGTTGCTTGCAGGGACCTTCATGTCAGAATTACAATCAAATTTCAGTGATATTCAGAGGCTTCTTTTGTGATGGATTGGTGGGAGAAGTTTTTAAATCATAAATTGGTTTTTTCAGAATGGTCAAGAAGAATCTTCCTCTGGCCATAGTGCTCATTCTTCGTTTTGCAGTTTAGCTTTTGCAGAATTTACTTGTGATCAGTGTGTCCTATTGTTTGGGTAAACACCCACATAACCTATACTTTTAGCTGAGTTGCCCCCGAGTTCTTTGTTCAACAACAAAGATCAATTTCAATTTTGCCTGTTCTTTGTCTCCTATAAAAAATAAAAAATAAAATAAACAGGAGATGTGTCTATTGTTGCTGCCAATAAGTTGATCTTTGCTATCATCCCTGAGTTTCTTGTCTTTGTTCTGCTAGTTTTATCTATAACTGAAATGCTCTCGTGTTCTTGCTATCATCCCCGGTAAAAGTTATGTATAAAAACACAACCTATACTGCAAATATATTGACTAATATACTGATTGTAAACGCAACATAAATTGAAATTATTATGATGCTCGTCTTGCACAAGATTATGATGCTCGTTGTTAAGCTTTGACCTCTTTTTATTATAATTGCCGACCTGGTCGATTTTGTCATAGTATATTATAAAGACATAAATTGTATATGCCTTCTTATATGTTACGGAGTCGTAAATTGCATATATCTACTTATATGTTATATACATAGTTACAACTTACAAGTTATAAACTAAGCATAAATCGAATTTTGGTTGAGCTAAAAAGTAAAATTGTAATCTAGTATGTATAATATTTTTTTACATCTTGAGAGTGCTTATAATATGTTTTACATGTCAATGTTGTACAAATTGTAGGTATAAACTTGAGTAAAAAATATATACAAAAATTATAAACAAAATTCAAACATCACAATTGTAGTTGGATAATGTTATGTAAATGAAAATGCAACATATATTGAAAATATACTGAGTATAAACGAAACCTATACGTAAAACGTTCTTTAGCCAGTGAAATTTATCGGCCATTTCTCTACTCTCCTTATCGCCGTCATCTTCTCCTGCGACATTCGCCGCGCCGTCGCCAACTTCTACTCAAACATCATTGCATTTCTTCTCCCTTCCTCCCGTCTCTGCCAATCTCGTCGGCTTCAAGAAGAGTGAGAAATTAGCCGACTTGGACTGCTTGAAGTCTTAGAAATATCCCAAGCCAGATCCTCCACCTTCGACGCCGTCTTCCTCACTGACCGAGTCGAGGCCAAAGCCCATTGGGCTATCGCGCTCGACTTGAATGATGCTGCTTTGCACATCCTCATGTCCCTCACGCTTGAGGTCTCAGGAATTCCTTCAGCCGCCTTCACGTTGTAGGTGGAGGCCTTGGACTCGCCACCATTAGATGAGCCACATATTTGATGTGTCGTCCTCGGTCAGCAATCACTCTGACGTCCGTGCGCCGTGCATCGCACCACCGTGGACGAGCATATTTCGTCGATCCACGCCGCCATCGATCATCGTCGGTCATAAGTTCGCTGCCGCCAATTGATGCAACATGGGAATTAAATTGGAGATGATAAATCATTGCAAAAAGAAGAAGAAACTGATTGAATGTTGGGAAGTTATTTCCAAAATCAGTTAGGCAATTTAAGGAACAAAATCGGTTATATTTGGTAAACTCATATCACATTTTGCTATTTATTTGCTTGTGATTACTATTAATACTAATATTTTTTTTCTCAATCGTAAATGTGTAAATATTTCCAAATCACACAAGCGTGTAAATTGGCCTTTTTTTGAACCAAACCTTCTTGTGATAAAATCTTAATGGGCCAACAAGTTAGTGGGAATTATCAAGCCCAACCATAAAAGTCAACAAGTCTAGTCGAAGTTCAACACAACTTTGCTGTTTATAAGATGACTTTTATTTGTAAGTCTTGTTTGTAGACTGTAGTGAGCATTTTTAAATTGAGGTTTGGTTTTATTACACCCCTCTGTTTTCACACACCAAACACCAACACAATCAATAACATTAGGTCTCACATTCACTCTAATCTCCCTGAAACATATAATAAACTACCCAATGCAAATAGACATGCTAACATTACCCATCTTGTTTTCTGCTACAACAAAATAAACAGAAATAGTGAAAGTTTCTCATTCTGTAGGGAAATGCTTAACAGCTAGAGGCTCATACCATTCAGGTCCAAACCCGGCTGCTCGTCTTGCACTCTCATTGAAAGGCGGCTTGAGTGGACCTCTGAAAAAGGCCCTTACTATTGCATGAAACTTCTCGATCACTTCAAACTGCATATTATCATCTCCAACTGTTTCAGCTATTTGCTCGGAGGCTATAGAGTCGAGGGCCATGCTGGCATTTTTCGACCTCATACAGATGTACTTAAACCACTTGATTCCAGCAGCACAGTGAGTGATTTCTTCTGGATAAATAACTTTCTCCAATAATTCGGCTGTCTTTTCATCACCACCCTTTCGAAAACGTGATATTGTTGTTGGTAGCACATCAAGACCTCTAGCCTACGAATTAGTTCACAATATAGCACATCAAGAGAATGAAGATCTAAAATTCTTTAANAAAAAACTAAACCTAAAAAATCGCAACTAAAAAGTTGAATATTTTGCTCTGATTAACATTTTTTGTTAAGGCACTTTAACACAATTTTTTGTCATTACTAATTTACGTCTTCAAAGTTACAAAGTTGCCCAGATATTCCATGTCCACCTAACTAATTGCAAGTGCAGCAAGGATTTATTAATCTCTCATAGGCAATTAAGATTTTGTGTAATTAAGCAATCCTCAAGGCTATTATTTTAATTATTCCAAAAATTATATGAATTCAGAAAGAACTCATGCTACTCATTCTTTTCAGTGTGGAGCAAAATATGATACCTCATGAACACAATGTTCAACTGCTAAACGTGCCAATAAATCTTTTGAAGTAGCAGTAGCCGAGTCCCAGAGACCGTCATGAGCAGGTAATGCTCCATAAAAAGACCCCAGTTCCTTAAGCCGTGCTGCAAGCAGGGTAAAGTGCCGACCTTCATCTTGAGCCACTTTCACAAAATCCGTGAAAAAATCTCTTGGCATGGACTCTTCCTTTCCAAATCGAGCAATTATATCCTATATTCAGGACAGAACCGTGAGATGGGAAAAGCATAAAAGTATCCGGAGCCAATTCTATTTTACTTAGTTGAGTTAAAAAAACTAAAGCCATGAGTCACAATTCACTTAGTATAAAATGAGACAAGTCAAAGATTTTTATTTATTTATTTATTTATTTCTCTCAATAAAACTAACACTATTCTACACTCTAGCTAACAATACGCAGAGAAAAATGATACATAGTCAACCTAGTGTACAACTAGGTTGACAGCACAAGTGGAAACATCCACTTGTGTATTTTTTTATTTTTATTTTTGTGGATGTTTTTTACTTGTGTTGTCAACCTAGTTGTACACTAGGTTGACAATGTAGCATTTCTCATTAGCAGAAATGTTAAACTTCCCTCGTTTTTTGGTATGTCCGGGCCAAAGTATTTGATAAACAAAGTTCGGTAAATGTGAAGACTAACAGGATGATCCTAAAAACTGAACCTTTTGATATATGTTTAAGACTTCAACATTCTCTGAAAACTCTAAAATGTTTTTATGTTCTAAACTTCAACTTCCTTATACCACAAAATTATATCCTCGGAGTAGAATAACAAGTACATAGAAGCTTTCCCAACAGGCTATCAACAGTTCCCTCCCTTACAGGATGTTAGGAATAAAGCAGAGGAGTAGATTAAAAAGAAGTAGAGATGCAAAAGAAAAGGGGTTGTAAATTGTAATGATGAACAACAAAAATGCACACACACATAAGTTCACACGCACAAAAAAAGAAGGCAACAACTACCCAAGACAGGTCGATAGCCCAACTCTCGGTGTGCACGAGACTATGCACAATCGCCTGCCGACTATGCAAGCTCCCAGCTTTACCCAGCTTCGGCATCTCACTCGGGGACACCAGCTTCACCTGGTCCCACACAAATCAGACCACAGACAAACACACGTTACAGACCAAAAATTGAAGAAGAATGAATGATAATTAAACTTGTTTCTCTGCGGCATTTCATCGAGCACCTGGCAGGAAAAAAAAAAAAACAGAAAATGTGGGTGACATTACAATACATTGGGAAGGCGGGCTGGTCGATCGGGTACGGCGATGTCCACTGAAGGATGGTAGGGGAGGGTGATATTATACTTTTTGCACCAAATAAGTTTAAATGCTCATATATATACAAACAAAAAGCTAATGTTATGTGTATGCGTAAAAAGCACCAACTTTATATCCACTTTTCCTAGCCCTAATTCATATTTCTGAAGCCCAAACTTTTTTTCTCTTTTTTCAAGTCCAATTCTTAATCCCTTTTCCCTAATGTATGGCCAAGCTAATAAATCCTTAAAATTTATTTTAGATTATGCATTTGTATTTTATAACTAGAAATACATGTACTAATTTAGAGTTATTTTATATTGTAATTATAATTATTTTGAGTAGTTTTTTCGTCAAGTCGAGCATATCTGCGTTCGTTGCATTTATCAAGGTGATTTTCAAAATTCTAATTATATTTCACGCCTCATATACATGTTTTGTGATACTTCTTATGTTGATATGATGATGTAGGGAAGCATACGAATGAGAAGGATAAACGAGATATTCTCGTAAAACACACAAAACTCACAATATTTGATTCAATCTCAAAATTCACCATCTCATAATCAAGTAGAAAGCCCTTTAAATAAGGCCATCAAAATAAACCCTAGCTTATTCTCTAATAATAATAATAATAATAATAATAATAATAATAATAATAATTCTATACCATTCTCCCCCGGTTGAGCAGGATTCGCCATCAAATCCGACCCCTTCCCGTTGGAGACATCCTTATGACAGAAATGCCCGGCGTTTCCCCCGATCGATCACGAAGATTGAATGTCGCTCACCACACTTTAATGTGAACGTCTGATCTCTGCAATTTTTCTCACGTAATCCAGTGATTTTGTGCTCTTGGTAGGTGAGACTAGTCTCCACCCTGGCCTTTTCCCAATCAACGGAGAAGGGATCTGTTACATTCTGATTAGCAACCAAAAATTTATATTTATAGATGTTGAACTTAAATTACAAATACATGAAATTTCAAATATCTTTTTTTTTTTACTTTTTTAAAAGTTTGAAGGTGATACGGATACTAAGTTTTTAAAAACTTGATTATAAACATGTAGATATTTATATTTATAGTAAATACATTTTTATATGAAATGAACGTTTCGACTTAAACTACAAGCTCGTTATTTAACATTAAAAATTGGACCCCCCTGAGTAAAATTCCTAGATCCGTCACTGCTCACCATCATAGGCAAAATGTTTGCCATCCACTTCTTTCCTCGGCCCTGGAGGCTCCTCATCGAAGATCGGCAAACCGTCGTAGAGACCGTCCACTTCGCCAGTAAGACGCTCCTCCACCTCCTCGGGTCCTTCATCAAACACAGGCGGACCATCGTAAAATGGCCCGTCAATTGCTCTCCGTTGAATTCGGAGATGTCAACGCGAAACGGCCCTCCCATCGACCATATTCGCGATCAAGTCTCCAATCATGTCGGGCATGATATCCACCGGCGAAGGCAACCTCCTCGCGCCTGCCTCAGTCATAGCGTGATCGTCGCCGTCCACGAAGACCAGGCCCCGTCGCCGCATGTCACGGCCGCCGTATGCAGCGAAGGGGTCAGCCTCGACGTGCGGGGTTGGAAAATCGTCGAAGGGATTCACCTCCGAGACTATCTCCTCGCCATCTTCGTCACCGGACGGTGGTTGTGGAGATCTCCGGCGTGGCGCCCCGCTTGGACCACGACCTCCACTTCCTCCGCGAAATCCCCCGCGCACGCCCCGGTTGCTGGCGTCACAGTACGTTTGCTTGTCCCGAACCATGGTACGGATAATTAGACGTATGTCCCCTATCTCCGCGGACAGATCTGCAATCTCACGACCCATCGTCTCGAGCTGGCGGCCAAACCACTCGGTCCGGTGGCTCAGGTTGTAGATGGCGGCGACACTCCCGTCGTTTGCAGCATCTTGTCGTCGCGACAACATCGTGAATCGTGCTGACTTCTGATACCAGCTGATGTAGGGAAGCGTACGAGTGAGATCGGATTTGGGGGCGAATCCTGCTCAACCGAGGGAGAATGATGCAGAATAAATATAGTTATTATTATTATTATTATTATTTAGTAGATTGGTGAACAAGTTAGGTCTAGGGCTTTAGGAGTCTTATTTAAAGACTCCTTCTTTGTTATTTGTGGTTGATTATTGAATAGAAATATGAATTGATATATTGATTTGGTGTTCTTGAGATTGTGATCTCATTAATATCGTCTCACTCGTACGCTTCCCTATATCATATGATTATTTACATTATCACATTGATGGCCTTGGACATATATTCAAGTTGAAATCTTTTGGTCCAATGAATTCACTTTGATGCCTTCGGACAATGGCCAAGTACTTTGTGTATTTTTTAAATCTCTCTTATCTGAAGAAGTTATAGGCTCTTAAATGGCGACAAGTGGCTTATTCTTAGCTTGACATTTGGCATTTGATTATGCAATTACTTCATTGCCCATTTTGGGCCAAACACAAAAAACCTCTAACAAGGACAAAAGGGTCAATTGGATGGCCTTTCAATTTATATGTGTTTTGACTAAAATTTCCTGTTGCATTCACCTTTTGAGGGGTGTAGACGTAATTTCTTATACCTGCTTATCTTTCTGCCGTGCTCGCGGGATTTCCTCCCCGAAAATCTGCTCAGACGTGCGTCTTCAATCAATCGTGTCTTCTTCTCTGAACTGATTATATTTGTTGACCATATGTTTCATTCTTCATTTTGTGTCTACACATCACGTTCCTTCATTGTTAAGCGAAACTTGCTTCTGCAGAAAATTACCCATCCCATCCCATCCTCTCAAACTCTTTCTTCCCAAACCCTTTCCATAGAAAATCAATGTTTCAACACACTTAAAATCTCTTCCACAAACATCCAATATTTTGGGGGAACTCCTCGCTGCCGGCGTCGCCTATGGAGGGGAAGACGGAGCTCCAATCGGGCCGGAGGTAATGGTGGACAGCCCACTTGATGGCGAAGGCCGATTCCTCGCTGAGTAAGAGGGGCTTAGGACTCGCCGTCGGCCTATGCGCCGCCGCCTTCTTGCATGCTCAGACCTACTACTTGCTCGTCGTCCCTACCTGCTCAATGCGTCTCGTAAGCTTCATTTTTTCCCCTTTTTTAGTGGTGATTTGAAAAATGGGGTTCGAATTAGGGTAAGTGTTTTGGAGATGGGTTCGGATTTTGGTTTGTCCATCTGAATTTTGTTATGTTTCGAAGAAAGTATTGATTTTTTGTCACTGCTTCCTAATTATAATTGTCGTGCATGGTCGAATGCGTTTTTGGGTCACTACTGTAAGTTTTAGTTCATATTTTATCACTACGGATAATTGAACGTTTTTCTCCTTTATCTTGGATATTGACTGCCTGTGTCAGCTCCGGCATGCTTGCCACTGTCGAGTTGTACCCGTACAGTAGGCTCGCCAGCTGCACTTTGACCAGCAGTATTTTTACAACTTTTTAGGGCGGCCTTGCTAAAGTCCAGTACGTGATTTGTTTGGTGATTTTGTTTTGTTTTTTGGTATTTGGTTGTGGGGGGTGCCACTGAGTGAGTCTATTTGTATTTTGCTTTTTTTTTTTTTTGGCTAGGAATCAAATGTGTAGTCGAATTTGCAATTGAGGAGTTTGATTTGTCAGGCCTATTGGAGAGGTTGAGGCCATTCAACATAAAGAGGAGGGGATCGGTCGATGAGAGATCGTTGAACGAGATGTCGATCTCATCCCCATCCCGTCAGTTCTACAGGAACAACGACAACTTATACCGCATTTTAACACCTTACGGAGCATTCATTTGCAAGGGGAGAGATCAGAATTTAGCACGCATCGGTCGTTCTTTGCATGGAGACTCACCTGGTCATGACTGAGGCTTGGGTAGCCTTGCAGCACTCAATTCTTCATTTTCAAGGGCAGCCCGTGGGTACCAGTGCAGCTTTGGACCACTCGACTGGGGAACTTACTATGATCAGGTACAGATTTAACATGCTGGAAATATTATATCATTGTTCTTTATGCTGTGTGAATATTTCTTATTGTGTTTGCGGAGTTCTGTTTTACGTATGTCGATTTTCTTTTTATAACATACATTATTAATTACTTTAGGTGTCCACAACACCTTGTACATGAGTAATCCGCGTTTTAGTACTTTTTGTATTCGTTTCTAATTTTCTTTTTTGTTCATTTGTTTTAGAATCGCTTTATAGATCCACATGTATTATGCAAGATTAATGGTATATGCTCCACAGAATGTCAGTGCTCACACTAACAAGTCAATGCTTCTTAATTTTATTTAAAAAAAAAAAAGATATTTGGAATCTGATGTGAAATAGGAAAGGAAAACTGGTATGGATCTGACATTGCTACACAATTGAATATCGTTTGAAAATGATTTCCCATGTTCAAAATGGACTTGAGACTATTGAATAGTGTTTTCCTTTAATGGTTACTTAGTATTTATGATTTTGTTTCGAATATTCTCAAGTTTTGTAATCTTGAAAGTTAATTATTCTTGTGTGGAAGACAACTTTGAAGTTCAGAATTATTCACTAGGTAGAATTAGGTGAAATGCTTGTGAAATATTAATTCGGCGTGTCTAGATAATATATAGAGTATCTCACCGAATTAGCAATGATCCACAATCATATGATATATATAGCATGAGCTTAAATATATAGTGAATGATGTAATAGGGAAAAATGCTGAACAAAAAAATGAATTAGAGGAAATAATCTGAAAGCAAGGAGTTTTTCTACCCAACTTCTCTTGGCGACTACATTCACTGCATACGTGGATCCCTGTGAGATCATAATGTATGTATAATATATTTTATGTACCTGATGTATAAATGATTCTTGTTTTGGAGTCTTAATATGTTTTTGTGTTTTTCTAAATTATCTTAGTAAAATATTTATTGGTTTTCGTATTGTTTGATACCACTTACAAGTTGTGCTTGCTTAAAGAAAATAATGGAGGGAAGGAGAAGATGTAACTAACTCCAAATCTTTTTTCTTTCCAGTTTGTATTTTGGCATTTTAGCTTGTTAATCTATATGTTTTAGATAAAATGATTAATTTCTTTCAGTTTCCCTAAATATGCAAAAAGAGAGAATGGTCAGGTTAGGTCTTTAATCTCAACTTTAATCTTATCAGAATTTTCTGAATACAAAGTCGGTTAATAGGCGTACATGTTTATAGAGAGAGAAGCCATAATTGATGCAATGTGGAATCAAATGAATACAGGAGTTTCCGCAAAAACTGTAAAGTCCATCTTGGAAAACAAGGGCTCCGCCGCCAATAAGTCTTCTCAGAAAACTCCTGTGAAGAAATCATCAACACTCAACAGTATGTGAAAATGGGATTTTGACACGCTGAGATTCAAGGGAAAAAAGTGACAAGGAAATCATGAAAGAAATTCAGGCCATCATGCGACTTCGAGCATCACGTATTTGTTGTGTCTTGACGAGCCTTGTAAGAATAATCATGTTAATTACATTTTATTGTAAGAACTAGAAAAGTACCTTTTTTTTATTACTCTCTCTCTCTCTCTCTCCCCCTCTCTCTCCTAAGGGCTATGTTCTATATGGTTTTCTGTTTGTTCTGTTGGGTGTATTTTACATCACACTGACAAAGATTGTAATGTCCCACTTACTTGGATCGAGAGGGCTCCTAAGTTGATTGTTAATCCACAGATGTTGAAACTGCATTCTTTTGATACAAAGGTGGTAATAAGCAAATAAGTGAATGTCCTGCTGTTGGATTTTCGCTTGAAAAGAAAATCTTGTCAAGCTTGTTTGGTAATTTAATATAATGAAGTTTCTGTGTTTGCATATTCACAAGGTTAACACTTTGGTATCATACAAAAATAATGAGTGGGATAAGGCAAGAATTTGATGGGATCCATCAAACTTTGAGTTTATTTTAGTCACCCATTATTTAGGTTAAGATTGTGGTCTAAAAATGAAAATGGTTCAAAATTTGCAGTCTTACAAGAGGCGATAATACATGAATGTGGTGGTTCATTAGGCCGTACACCCCCAGCTAGATCAATATATCCATATAGCTCTTTACGGGATCTTACCTTTTATCCAAAAGGTTGCAACTTTTGTTTGTTTTTGTTTGTGTACCCTTTTTCTTGGGCTCATGGGGTGAAATTTTTTTAGGCTTTTCTTATCTATGAAAATGTTGTGATTTTTATTATATATTTTTTTGCCTCAATCAGGTATTGGTGTAAAGGGTCATTGTGATATTCTTCGACAAGGTGGTGTACCGGTCGAGAGATTTGTTTTCAAGTTGGATGTGAACCAGTCTTATAGTTCTATGGTTGAGCAAGCTGATTTGGAGTTTTCTCTTAGGTCCTTTTTTGGTTAAGCTCCCTGTTCCAGTGCCTCGAACTAGGGTTCTTCCCCAACCTAACTGTGGATTTTTTGTAGCTGTTTTTTTATTTTTTCCATCGGTATTGCGATTGTTTTCTCTATAAGAAAGTGATTTGGAGGAATAAATATTTGAGTATTTTTCAACTAACATAATAATTTCATGAAAGTTGTTTCAAGGTTCTTTCATATGCTTAGCACCTTTTTCTTTTTCAATATTTTTGTATGATAATTAATACTATATTTGTTTCTTTCATTTTCATTACAACTTTGGGTCAGTTTATATATTACAGAAGGACGTAAAAGAGCTTGCGGTAGCCTGGGAACCAGTATGAGTCGAAGAGTTGCAACTGCTGCTTCTTCAACTATAATTTATTCACATATTATTTCTTTTGTTTATAATTTACTTGAAAGTCAAACTTTGTCAAAATTTATTCAAAATAAACTTCCTTTGTATCTAATTTAACAAATTTTCACTAGATTTTAAACTAAATTTGAGACGGCCGTGCTAAGACGACTAGCAAACGTAAATACGTTTGAAGTCTTTTAGTTCAAAATTAAGAAACATGAATAACATTGAGAGAAAGAGCAATCACAGCAAGTTAAATTGAATATAAAAATTCAAATCTTTAATGTTCCATCACAAATTACTTCAAATTACTCCCCACATAAAGGCTCATAAGTCCACCAAAACTTTAAAAAATCTAAATCTTTTATCTTCATCACCATTCATTGTTTTCCATCAATACCTACTTCAACCTATTCTCCATAAAGGCTCCTAAGCCCACCACATTTAATCACCAAAATTAAAAACATGGAACTGTGAAACTAGATAAAGTTTTCAAGTTAAGCATTCAAATTTCACAACTCAAAATCTCACAAGCTAACTAATTAAGGTCCATCATCAAGAAATGGGTAGTCTGTATAACCGATAATAGGATCACTCGAGTAGAACGTGCTCCTATCATATGCATTAAGATTTGAACCGAGCTCGAATCTCCTCGACAAATCCGGATTCGCCAGGAACAGGCGACCGTACGCGACAAGATCAGCTTCACCTCGTCTCAATACCTCATTCCCCCGGTCCCTATCATAACCCCCCGCAACAATAAAAGTCCCCTTAAAAGCTTTCTTCATACCCAACAAACTCCATCGAGTCTCCCCCTCCTCTAACTCTCCCACCATTCTTGGCTCGATCACGTGACAATACAAAATGTCGTACTCATTGAGGGCCTTGGCCATTTGTAAGCTCAAGGAGTTGGGGTCCGAGTCCCCACACTCGTTGTAGTCGGCGTAAGGGGATAAACGAATGCCAACTCGATGGGGCCCGATCTCCCGCGACACGGCCTCGACAATCTCCAAAGCGAAACGACATCGATTTTTAAGGCAACCTCCGTATTCGTCAGTTCTGTCGTTGACTTGGTCTTTGAGGAATTGGTCGACGAGGTAACCGTTGCCCGCATGAATCTCCACCCCATCAAAACCTGCATAACATGAAATGTAACAACATTGCTTTTGGGATTGTTTTAGGTATTCTATGGAAGGTAAATTTATGCGATTGTCATATGGAAGTACGCAAGGTGCCAAAGGGTTTGGTTAAAAAAAAACTAGTCTTGGTGTGATGACTGCGAGAATCATATTTGATACTAATTTTAATTGTGTATGATGTTTTTTTTTTTAATATTATATGGTGCTATCATTTTCACAAATGTTAATATAAATTGTATCTATTTTTAATAAGATATATTTTGGTTACAAATAGCACCAAACACAAACAATTAATCATAGAAACACACATAAATAAGAATAGCAGTTCTTATGATTCTCACGTTAAGACATGATTCTCATTTGAACCACCTCGGGGCACCAAAATGTTGTAGATGTTACATTCATTTTGGTATTTTAGTGTATATATGATACACAGTGATTTATTGTAGTGATGACAGCTCTATGAAAATATCTATGCATCACTCTTAACATACAAATACAAACCTTGTTTTGTTCAACGTGCGATGCACGGATAATAGATATTTATAAATTAAAAATACTCATTAAATAATATTTATAAATTAAAAATATAGAATCAATATGTAATACAATATACATATACTAGTTTATTGAAAATGTTATATGAAATTTAAATTATACAAAATTACATAAATATTTTATTTTTATTAACTTTAAATATGAACTTCCGAATTAACACTGGTGCGATACATTGTACCGGCACTGAATAAAGAAAAAATTGATTAAGATAAGTAGAATATTAATGAAATGGATATAATTGCGAGAGTTAATGTTAATTATTAAATAACTAACCTGTTTCGATTTCGAAAAAATAAAATAAAACCTGCTTCGATGGCATTTTTGGCCGCCAATCTAAAATCATCGACGACTTGCGTGATTTCGCGGGCTGTGAGCCGATGGGGTGTTGAAAAATTTTCGGCAGTTGAGTCTCCAATATGTTCATTACCCGCAATTTTGTGTGCATTAATTTTTAAATTCCGATACAACAACTAACTTTATGTTTTTGGGAGCACATCATGCATTTATATCGACCAACATACAAAAACTATATATTTTTCTTTTAATTTTTTAAATGAGGAAAGGGTTTTATTTTACTATGATTGGAAACTCTGCCAGCATGCCAAATTTGGCAGAAAAATATGGGGGAAATTCCATTGCAGGGCTTGACTTTTTGTTATTGTGTCACAATAAGGCCTGAATTTTTACCTTTTTCATTTGAAGGTTTCAATTTTAAGTTACTCTCAATATAAGACCTACTTTTGCATTCTACTTTTCAATCTAAGACTCCAAATCACTTTATATTTTGATATAATTATGTAAATAACAATACTTTCTTAAAAAAAATTATAAAAAAAATTTATTTTCTAAGTACTTATAATAAAAAATATTAAATATCTTTAATTAATTATCTAATAAAATAATTATTTCATAATTTACATTTATGCAAAAGCTTAATGAAATTTATTTTAAAAGTTAAAAGATTGATTTTAATTTAATTTTAATCTAAATATGTGACAACATTAAAATATAAACTATTTAGAAAAATAATTTTATTTTTTTAAATAAACTTACAGAAAATATTATTTGTGAATAAAATTTATATTTTTGAAAAATTTATGAATATATAAAATTAATACCCGAAAAATTTTATTGTATGTAGTTTTATTCACAAATAATATTTTCTATAAGTTTATTTAAAAAAATAAAACTATTTTTCTAAATAGTTTATATTTTAATGTTATCACATATTTAGATTAAAAAAAAGTTAAAATTTATTTTTTAACTTTTAAAATAAATTTTATTAAGCCTTTCATAATTGCAAATTATGAAATAATTATCTTATTAGATAATTTTATCAAAGATATTTAATAATTTTCATTATAAGTACTTAAAAAATAAATTTTAAACAAAGTATTATTGTCTACATAATTATATCAAAATTTACTAAAATGATTTGGAGTCTTAAATTGAAAAGTAGAATGTAAAAGTAGGCCTTATATTGAGAGTAACTTAAAATTGAAACCTTCAAATGAAAAAGTTAAAAATTCAAGCCTTATTGTGACACAATAACATAAAGTCAAGCCCTACAATGGAATTCTCCCGAAAAATATGCCTCCTTTCTCATGAACTGCTTCAACTATTGGCTTCCATGCTTCTACTTGTTCTTTAGTCCATATGCCTGGGGTATTTGGATATCTTCATACAAGAAAAACAATCAATATTAGAAACCATGAAATAAAACTAAGGTAAATTATTAATTTTCTATTTAGTCAATTGATTATGTCCAAAATTTTTATGACACGTGTGTTGAGAATGTAACCAAATATGGGATAAATTCGATCCTACCCATGGGCACAAATTTCTAGGCACGAATTATAGTTTTTCCTTAAATATGAATTAATTTCTATATAAATGCCACGCAAATTAAAATTGGCAATAAAAAGTCAATTAGCATGTTTAAACTAAAGATGGGTGTGATTTGGAAATATGTATTACTAAAACTATTACTAAAATATTTCTAAAATGTACATTTAAAAAAATTATTTTTAAATATAATTTTTCTTGCACTAGATATATTAAAAATAATAATAACGACCATAATTAATTACAGTTTGGATAAATTAGTGTTACCCTTGAGCTGTTTGTGAGACTCCAGAGGCTTCAGAGATTAACAGTCCGCCATTTGTTGTTCTCTGTGAGTAGAAAACAGCTGCATGTGGCTGTGCAATGAAGCCGTATGACCTCATTCTGGTCAAAGGTGCCAAAACTATTCTGCAAATAAAACACATTAAATTCCAAGTAATATTTTTATTATTATAGGTGAATTTCGGTGTATTTATTTCTGTTGAACTAAAATCAAATGTTCATCATCATGTTATTCAGTGTAATCAATACTTACTGTTCTACAAATTAATATATTCTGTGAAAATACACATAATTAATACTAAGGTGATGAATGAGCCAAACAAATACAAAACAATCAATTATAGGCAAAAAATTAAGAAAATTATATAGAACCTGTGGGATAGGTCAAAATTGGCCATCTTGTATGGAGCTAAGAGAGGAATAGCCATTTTTCACTTAGTTCTATCTCTCTCCTCTTTTTTCTTCTTCTTCATCAAACTTTGAACAACAAATGCTACCATAAAAGTCAACATAGTTCATCTGTGACTAAATATCACCTACATCTTTTGGTGTTGAAAATGGTATTAAAATAGCTTAGAATATGACAAAATATTGACAATACCAATATTATATTTTTGGTGCACACGCATATTCCTACAAACCATTCATTATATATTTGCATTTTAATCAAAAAATGTTCATTATTTTGTAATTTTTTTTCTTAATTACTGATTAGAAACTTGAATATTTAAAAATTAGAACTTTTATAAGTAAATGATCAGATAGTCAGGTCATAATACTTTTAATAAAAATATATATATAGAGAGAGAGAGTTTGATGATCTCTTGTGCAATATGTCCACCTGCATATGGATGACTGTAAGATAATGTTATTTCAGTCATTTAAACATACTATATTATATTAGCGTCTTTAAACGTCTTTCCATAAATTTTATGAATATTCTGCAAATGAGAGAGTGAGTGAAAGAGCCTGCCAGACCATCTTTTTAATTTGTCCATTCTCGCAGCTAAAATGGTAGTTTTTTATTTATTTATTTATATAAGAATCACATATATTCACAAAACAAACAAGACTAGAAAACACCCACTCAGCCGAATAAACAGCCAACCGACCGAATAAGACAGCTAAATCGTTGAATCTAGTTGGGAGGACTACATTGACAGACGTCAGACGGTAGCCTAAAACCAACCTAAAAAACAACATAAAACACTAAAAAACTCCCAAAAAGAGAATAAACAAAAGCTACCACAAGTGGAGAATACACCAAACGCACGAGAAAAAAAAAACACAATTCTAAACACAAGAACACAAAGACAGAAGACAACTACTACTACAACTATAACTACAACTACCCTTCTCGAAGCCTAACCAAACGAAACGATAACCAACATAAATCCACACGAACCCAGAAACTGCAAGAGAATGCCTAACTAGGTCCGACACCAACGAACCTACCCCCATCCAAACGGACATCCCACCTATGCCCAGAGGCCTTGACCCCACAACCACTTAGCTAAAATGAATGTTCAGTTACTTAAAAGTATTATAATCAGACAACTAACCTTTGACAATGTTTATCTCTTTCAGCCTTTCAGGTGATCTCAAAGCTATGGTACCAATTATGTCCCAACATCTATCTCTCTCTAAAACAACAAGATTCATATAATATCTCATACGAAGAAA